TATGTCCCAATACAAATCGCATGTTTTCACATAAATATATGCGTCCCATTCAATTGTACCAGGTCCCATTCCATTGAACCACAATCATTTGAAAGTAATTTTAGAAATAATTCTGATGTTTGTTAGACATAGTCTCTCAAGTAAACAGATTTAATTGTTCATATTAATATGGCAAAATACAAGTTTTGAAAAGGGAAGTGCCAAAGGGTATTCCTTTTGACAATTTTAAAAAATATGAACAAAATTTTAAAAAATGTGAACAAAATTTTAAAAAATGATCATATCAAAGTGGATTATTGTTTACGATTTTTCATAAAAAAAATTTTTAAACCTTGAATAATATTTACTTAAAGGTATTGGTTGGGCAAAAAAAACAACTAATGGGCGAGTTCCAGGAAGAAGCGCTTTATGTAGTGTGAATCACAAAACCGAGTTTGGCACATCCCTTTGATAAAAGTTATAACTTAAAGTAGCTAAGTCTCTAACTCGATATCATCCAAAATCTTCGACATTGAATACAGGATTTATTTGTCGCTTTAAATCAACATTGATGTTGTGATCTTACCGGGAAAAGATAACCTTCTGGTATCCAATATTTAAGACAAGATAAACATTTTACAATTGGTACACGAATCGTGTACCATAATGCGTTTCAGCACTATTTGTAATAAGGGACTCGAAAAACAAGGCTAGGCATATTCCACAAGTCATGTCAAACGGTGACGCTATATTCTTATCTGGAGAGCATGCCCAATAAATACTATCGGCGTAGACTGGAAAAACCAGACGGTCGGGATTGAAATTCGATTGAGAATACTGGCGTATTTCACCGAACCTAACTGATAAGAAATTACAGTAAAAACAGAAACGATTGAATGTAAATCAATTTATATACATTCATATTACATTATTGTATGCGTTGCGACCCATTTGTGTCAATTTCTAGGTCCCAAATATTAGCGACTTAGCTCCTTTAAATAAAAGAAATACATTAAGTATACTTTCTAGATTTCAAGTTAATATCTATATGCTTGGTAAATTTAGTGGTTTTAACATTATCGTATTATAATTGTTACTTAAATTAGAATCAACTATCATAGGATTATGTTTATTAAATTTGTATAGAATGTTGTGTGATGTAAAGATGGGGAGTTGAAATCAATTTACTTGTTAGCAGTATATATTGAAATATGGAGGATGACCATGTATATCATTGATATAACAAGACCGTTTCTCTTCATGGCTACCAAATTTTATGTTTTACAATTTTAATAAAAGCGGCATAAGGTAAGATTAGATAAGAGCTGACTGTTCTTCGTAAAATAATTAAAAGATTGGTAATGAAAAGGGAATATGTGGAAAATTTCAGTCAAATTACTTTCACTCTTGAGCCTAGCTTTTGGTGATACAATTATAGTCTAGCCTCGATTGTCATTGCTACCATTGTTATGATAATAAACAAACTCTCGATTATCCATTTTAACATTAAATTATTAAATGGTATCGGTGTTCTAATACATGTAATATCTTGGATTTGTTTATTATTCTAGCAGTGGTACTTGACAATCAAGAGTCATAACTTCGTCCAGAATAAAGTATTTTGACTGAATGTTCATTTTTCATTATGTATTTTTGAACTATTATAGCAAGAACGGTCAGCCCGTTATTTAAAATTTACATAATGCATCTTTTAAAAAAACATACTTGATTATTGTAAGCTAGATTTGATGTCTAAACTTCACTAGTATCAGTTATACTGCAAATATTATTGGTGCTCCACTGAAGACATTTTTGCAAATCTATTAGAACATTGAATTATGCTATGAGAATACTGCCAACTGCCTATGGTCAAATAAAATGTATTGTGAAAGTAATGAGATTGGATATGCTGAGTTTGATATCTGCAGTGCATCACAAAATTACCACAAAAAAAGATCAAAGGAAGATTTGGCATTAATTTTATTCACACAAATCTTTCAATAGCTATAAAAAGCATGTAATAAATAATCAATATTTCTAAAATTTCATGCTTTTTAGAATCATGTAAATTCACTTTATTAACATTAAATTACAACTGTTAAAGGCACTGATTTGAAAAAGAAATTATACTGTTAAATGTCTTAATGGAAACAATGAATTGTGGTCCAAACTTAATGAAAATGACAGATGAAAGACATAAATTCGTGGTAGACAAGATGCCTTTTTCACCTAAAAATTGCAAATTTGTGTTTTTGATTTATCAAGTGTTGTAAGCAGAGATCCATGATTTACCATGTATAAGCAGATATTCATATTGTAATATTTCTCTTGGATTGTTTCACTAGAGAGACCATTGATTTAACTGTAAGATTGATATGTAAATGTACATTTTTCAAGTTTTCTTGATGCTATGCATGCTCTTATTCTGTATGTCAGTCCACTGTCATTTTTCTGAAATACCTCACGATGACCCGAAAGTGGTTATATCATGACAAAAATACCTCTTGTAAATCATCTAATGTTTTCAATACTAGACAAAATATATATCATGTTATTCAATCACTAATTAATTAAAGTTGTTAAAGTATTTCTTCTTTGTCTTGTATTAAACACAATTCAGAAAGTCGAGGATGGCAGATGTTTAAGACTACAGTGCATGAAAGAAAGCCGTATGACATTGTCAAAAATATTTTACACCTTGACATGGAGGCCCCCATGATTTTGAGGCCCAAGGCTACAGTCTGCCAAGGTAAATCAGACACCGACAGTCCTGTCAGTCGTGGTTTTTATCCCTGGTGTGAGTGTATGTGTCTTTGTTATATGGGTGCCTTCTCAACTTCGAGGGTTTACTCTGGGTACTCCAGTTTCCTCCCACAGGAAAGACCCCTGCACATGTGCCAAGATAATAAAAATGAAAATAAGACAGCTTATCTGCGATATCACCCTTGGTAGAAGCGGACATTAAACACTAATAACAACAACATTTTCAACTTGCTGTTTTTGGGGGCTGAAATAGCATGAAGATAGGCTGCCAGGCAACAAAACATTAAACATAAGCCCACAGCAGCTAAATCATTTGTGCATTCAACAAGGGTCGTCACACATTTATGCTTTTGTAGGTGGGGGGTTGGATGGCCAAATGGTTAGCACATGTGCGCTGCGCTGTATCATACGGTCTGTCATTGAGTCAATTGGCGGGATTTCGATTCCCCGGTTGTACGGGACAAGGAGTAGGGTCGTCTGTCCAACCTCGTGGGTTTTCTCCGGGTCCTCCAGTTTCCTCCCACTGCTAAAGACCCCTACGTGCAAGCGAATTATTGAAATAAAATTGAACCATGTGTTAGTCCCGAAATGACCTAGTTTGTGTCAGTGGACGTTAAACCCCATTTCTCTCTCTCTCTCTCTCTTTTGTAGGTAATAGGAACATTTACAAGACACTGATATCAATTTGATACAAACTGATTGTTTACAAGGATCAACAAAGTGAAACAAGGACCATAACTGTGGAAGTTACAAACACAAATTGCTTAACTTCAATAGGCTTATTCGTTTACAAATCTCAATAATGCATTTAATCCAAAAAGTATTAAGTGATTAACAGAAATTCATGTTACTGGTCTTAATAATGCATATAAATTTAATACAGATCAGATGATAACTTTTGTCATTAGTGGGTTACAAGGGATTCAACAAAGTGAAACAAGGGCCATAACTCTAGGAGTATTAAGTAATTAATTGGCGGGGTTTCGATTCCCCGGTTGTACGGGACAAGGAGTAGGGTGGCCTGTCCAACCTCGTGGAGAAAACCCACAAGGTTGGACAGACGACCCTACTCCTTGTCATGTACAACCAGGGAATCGAAACCACGCCAGTCGACTCAATGACAGACCTTAAGAAACAATGCGCACACGCTAACCATAATTCGGACATCCAACCCCCCGATCAGATAATAAATGTAGAGTGTTCACAAGAAATTGTGGACGACGGATGAAGGCGACGGCAATATACGACCACATTTCCATGTGGACCGGGAATCACGGTGGCTAAGTGGGTAAGCGATGGCTGGAGCTCGGGTGTTCGATCCCTGCATTGGCCGAGAAAGTTCATCCAGATTTTCCAGCGTGGTTTCCCCTTGTCAGTGATGCAGCACGGAGGGCCTGTCAAGGACAGCTGTCTAGTCGTTTGGAATTTGATATAAGAGTAGGCCGTAGGGCAGAGCTGCCCGGGCAAAATTTCCCTCATGGCACACTGTATGGCGTATGCCCGTCTTCATTAGCCCAGTTTAGGAACAGAACAGTAGGACTTTAAACCCCATTTTATTTCATTTCATTTGATGAGTGTCGTGTCCCAACCCAATCAAATTGCTCATCTCCATCAAGGCATTCACCTAATAAACACCTACACCAAGTTTGAACATTCTAGCTGAATTGAAAGAAGACTTATTGTGTCCCGAAAAGTGTGACGAACAGACAAAAGCCCACACTGAAATCTGTTTGCAGGCAAATGTTTAAATGCTTGCGCGGTAGATCACAAGATTTGTCATTTAGTCAAGCGGTTTCAATTCCCCCCATTGCCTGTCCAACCTATTGGGTTTTCTGCACCCCCTCCCTCTGCTAAGGACCCCTAGGTGCAAGTGAATTTTTGACATAACATTGAATCATGTTAGTCACAAAATGACCTGGTTTGTGTAGATTCTCCAAAATCTGTTAAAACCTTCCGTTCTCAAGGTTTTCAGAAAAGGGGACTAACTCCAGAATGGAAGATTGCAAAAAGCCGAAAATCAATAGGGTTTATAACAACATCCTTTCGTGACCAAAATTCTATCAAAAACTGTAGCCAGCCAATTATCAATTCTCACTAGGTGTAGCATTCAGTTAATGGCCACAGAAAATACACAATAATATACAGCTCTAGTTTTTGATTTGTTCTATTGGGGACTAGTTACTGTACAATTTATAATGACATATTACATGTCTGGTCGAGAATATCCCCAGGAGAGACATTAAACATAACAAATACAGTTAAGTTATTTACACTTTATTTGATGATATACATTAAATATTTCATACATACATAGAAAAACAGAACCAGTATGAGGATTATAGTATAAATTAATAGTAGTTCACTATCTTGTTTTATATGCACTGATTTGAAAGCACTCACACGATTTCTTTCCAAACATAGTATATATCAATAATAAAAATAATGAATTATGTACAATAATGAAATACACTATAAACTTTATCCGTTTTATATTTTTGTGTTTAGATTCCCCATTTCACCAGGAAGGTTATTTTAGATTACATAAATTATTTATTGTTTATACAAACATTGATGTTATTTATTGACTATACATTGATGTTATTAATCAACACTAATCCTAAAGTAATAGTGATTTAATCAGTATAAATTAAAGAGGCATTATTTAAGATTTAGATAAAGAGCCGACAGTTCCCGCTAAACAGATAAAAAAGAAGATAATGAAAAGGGAAAATATTGACAGTTTCAGCAAAATTCCGTCATTCTGAGTGAGCTAAGTTATCGCTGTTAGAAAAACAGTGTAGTGTTGTCAAATTCCATACTTAAATTAAATCATTAACATTAATCGTATTTAAATCTGTTGAAAATCAGGAGTTGATTATGGTCTTGGTGAGTTAATAAATGTTTAAATAATAATTTATGTAACATTTAAGGCATATAGACCTAAAATAGGCAGATTTATCTCTTGAATAATGCCTTTTTTACATGTCCCACTTCCATGATAAGTACTGCGCGATCATATATATTAAAGTCTAAGAGAATTCCGACAAACACCACCTCTATCTTTCAGGGCTTTTCCCTCAAATATTACATTTTGCGGGCAAACTGATATTTAATTATTTACAACATATATTTATATACCTTATTTGAATTATTTCTAGTGTAGTTTACAATTACATTTTTCTCAAATATTGTAGTTTGATGCATTTTTTTTTTAATGAATAATTTACACTATGTATATCCTTATAAGAAATATTTTCTATAGTGTAGCTCATTTCAAGATAATCATTAATCATACATTGGAATTTTGAAACATCAATCCAGAAAGTCTATGCAAATATGTTAATGTTCAATCTGTATGGCTACATAATTATTATAATCCCACTAGAAATGATTTAAAATAGGATAGTTTTTCATGAAATATCTTACATGCACTGATATGAAATATGTTTTACACAATATACAAATTATTTACAGCATTACAATTTACAGTAACAAGATATATTGAAAATATGAACAAGACAAAATTTCTGAAAGTCAAAAATATAGCTCAATATGTCACATTGTAATAGACTTAATATTGATAACCGTTTTATTACAGAAAAAATAACACTTTATACAAGTACAACAATACAGCAATTTTGTAATATGTTTTATGTACATCTATATACAAGCGTTATAGTGATTTTATTCTTTATCACTGTCATCATCATCAACAGGGGAATAACTTGGACTAGTAGGAGAATATTTAGGAGTTGTTGGTGTATAGGTTGGACTGGTTGGGGAATATTTTGAGCCTGGAGTATAAGTAGGACTGGTTGGAGTGTATCTAGGACTAGTTGGGCTATATGAAGGACTCGCAGGCGAGTACTGCGGACTTGAAGGAGAGTAGGTAGGAGAGGCTGGTGAATACTGCGGAGAGCTTGGACTGTATTGAGGTGAGCCAGGACTGTAATCGGGTGATGCTGGGCTGTATTGCGGAGATGTGGGTGTATAACTGGGCGATGTGGGAGAATATTTTGGACTGCTGGGAGAATAAGATGGACTTGTTGGAGAATATTTGGGGGAGGTTGGGGTATACTGTGGAGAGCTGGGAGAATAAGATGGAGAGGCAGGGGAATATGAGGGACTAGTAGGACTATATTTAGGACTACTAGGAGAGTAGCTTGGACTACTCGGGCTATAACTGGGGCTAGATGGTGAGTAGCTAGGTGAACTAGGGCTATAAGACGGGCTAGTAGGACTGTAGGAAGGACTTGTAGGACTGAAACTTGGACTTGTAGGAGAATAAGATGGTGAGGAGGGGGTATAATTTGGAGAACTGGGAGAATAACTTGGACTGGTAGGAGAGAAAGAAGGGCTAGTGGGAGAGTACGATGGGCTAGTGGGGGAATAAGATGGACTAGTTGGTGAGTAGGAAGGACTGGTAGGGCTATAAGAGGGAGATGTTGGACTGTATGAAGGACTTGTTGGAGAGTAGGAGGGAGATGTTGGAGAATAAGATGGACTAGTAGGGCTATATGATGGACTTGTGGGGGAATAAGACGGGCTTGTTGGCGAGTAAGATGGAGATGTTGGGCTGTAAGAAGGACTTGTTGGGGAATATGAAGGAGATGTTGGACTGTATTTGGGAGATGTAGGAGAGTAGCCAGGACTTGAAGGAGAGTAGGACGGGCTGGTAGGTGAATATCCTGGACTCTGAGGTGTCATGGCTGGAGAACTTGGCATATAGGATGGAGATGTTGGTGAATAGCTTGGTGACATACCTCCATGAGGACTTGGAATGTAAGGACTGGATGGGGATCCAGGAGAACCAGGTTGTGGTGACCAAGCTGGACTGTAACCAGGACTGTAACCACTTTCACTAGCAGCTGATGGTGAGAAACCTGCTGCACCTGGTGTCATACCACTACCAACACCTGGTGACCAAACACTAGCATAAGCTGGTGTAGCACCTGTATTCCATGGAGTCATCTGTGGTGTCATACCAGCTGTAGGACTACCAATACCACCACCAAAATATATTCCTGTTCCAGCACCTGTAACACAACCATATTTCTTTTTATTTTTTCAATGTAAAAAATAAGTATTATATTATTGTGGTCACCAAACTTAAAATATATTTTACATGTAGTCTAAAACTAATCAGCTTAACCATTGTTTTCATATCAGTGTTGAAATAAGACATAATTAAAGTGATTAATAGTGTACATAAATAATAATATTTACCTCCTAATCCCATGCCTTGATCAATATTTGATGGAATCTCCATACCATGTTTACATTTCTCAGCATCTAATAGAAGTTCAAAACAACCAGTACCAATCTTAGCTAACTGACCCAACATAATATTCTCTGATACACCTTTCATAGGATCAAATTCGCTGTGTACAGCAGCTTCCATCAAAATATCAACCTGCAAACAGTACATTATTTATATATAGGTCACTTTTCAGTATTGGGCACTTTTCCTATAACTTTAGATAAATTCCATTTATAATTAAAATTTTGAGATCTGAAGCTTTTAGTCTATCTAACCCATACAACTGTTTTAAGCAGCACAGTTCAAATATTAGACGAATGTCATGGCCCATGGCGAGCTCCCAGCAGTGCACTTTGCCGATGATTAGAGCTGTACATGTGGTCTTTGTTTATTTCGTCTGCTAAATTTAGATAGCCATGACTGGCCAAATCTTATTTTAGTAATCCAGCCACCTTGGTGTGTTTTCTGCCGCAGGAAATACATTTACAACCAAAAGATCAAATCTGGATCCCGACACGGCCGACCATCTATTCTTACGCGAGGTTTTTAAAAACAAAAAGCTGCAGCTAGTTTGAGCTAGTAATCAATTAAAACTTGTTGTTGGAACAATTTATCTGCGTTTCCTTCATATGGTGACATTTATTACGGCTTGTATAAAACTTGTAGTGGTAAAGTTTTCCACGCGATAGTTTGATTATTTTGATCCGACCCCTGTCTGGGCAATGTCGGCATTTTCACAGGTTGTTTTTATCGAAATATAAATAAAAGGATTGATCATTTCAAAAAAATTGGTTCAGATAAATAAAATTTAATTAAACTCAAGAAATGATTTTTCTTGTGTATAAAACGAGATATTTGGAGATATTTATTTACAGTGGGCCACCCTAACAGATGACAAAAAACGTATTCAAAAGCACTGTCTTGATATTAAATAATTTAAAAATGCCTTCAGGAAAAAATTAGAGTGATATAACAAATATCATAGTAATATCATATCTAGTTGTCATCATTAGGCGTCATTCTAACTATATATGTTTAACAAGACTACATTCTAACTTACCGTTTCTTCAAAAGAACATCGAGCCAAGGCACCAGTTTCCTGTCTGTTAATACCGTGACGAGTGATAGCCATTAAATGACCTTTAGCCGTCATAACATCACACAACAAAGCCAAATGTCGGTAGTTAACATAAGAACCATCAAAAGAGATAACATGGTTCATTTCTCTTTCAATAGCTTTACGTACAGCTTCTATACCTAAGGACTGAAAAACATTAACCACAGAATATTAAAACACAGAATTTCAATCATGATATGAACAAATTGACATGACATTTTCCTTAGGAAGTTTTGTTATACAACAGTCTTAAATTAGATTGTCCTGGCAACCATTATAGAATTATTTTGTAAAGCTTTATAATGACGATGAAATCTATTAGATTCCTACTTTTGGGGTAGATATATTTTCTTTAATAAATTATTGAAGACTTAAATACTTGGTTCTTGGCCTAAATATTTAACACACACACCGACAATATATCAACATTTTTGTGGATCAGAAAATATGCGCATTGAATTGTTTTCAGAAACTGAGAATTCTCGATTTCAGAATCGATCAACATTTCATCATTTCCACTCAAAACACTAAATAAAGAAAACTTACTCCAAAGACTTCTACGATATCATTAGAGTAGGTTCTAACAGGATCGACATCTCTTTCACTTAATACTTTATTTAAAGCTGTACCATCAGTTTCTAATATCCATTCAGCTATAGCTTTAAATTCACCTTTCTCTGTTATCTGTATTCTCTTCTTATCATCAGTTGATGGCAGATGCATGTAAACCTGAATACATCATATTTTAACAATTGAATGTTGAGATTGTCCAAATATTTCAAACATTAAACAGTTCATATAGATACACCAACACAGATTTGTAGACATAATTTTTGATTTTATTTACCACAACTGACGTCTATTACCCTTTCTTTCGGTTTTGAAATAATTTTTTGTTTTATTTACTGCAAGTCTGTTCAATGAAGTCAAACTATCAAGTACAAATTCAACAATACTGAGTTTTTAATATTGATATAATGTACCTTGCAGATGGCTTCTATTCCTTGTAAAGACATGTCTGATAATAAATTAGCTTCAATACATCGTAAAAATACATCATCTTCCATCTTATCTACTACATCTTCTTCCTGTAAATCACATATTAATCATATTCAAAAATACAGAAAAGAGCCATTACTGGTTGCATCACAAATGCTTCGATTCCAAGTCTGTAATAATTTGCTGAATTTAACATTTACATTTTTGTTTTACAACCATATCAATAAGCTTTACTGTTTTAAGTCAATTGCTATAATTTCATTCCATAAATATACATATTTCAAAATGCATTATGTAGAGTTGAATTAACATGACCTGCCCATAATCAACACTCTGGGCCATCACATGGCTCCGATTTTAAGTAGATTAGAACACTGCAAACCATTTAAAAGTTTAATGATAAAATAGACATCGGGACTGAGTACCGGTGCTACGATAATAAACAATCTATGCTACTTTTTGTCAAAACTTCAAACACTCATAAATTAGCATTTCCAATATATTCAATTTTAATTACCTATTTTTGAACTATTATAGCAAGAACGGTTAGCTCTTTATCTAATTCTTACATAATGAATCTTTAACTACATAGATATCTAGACATATTACTTGGGGGGAAAAGGCGATTTTGAGAGTTTGGTAATACATTTGATTTTATTAGCTTTTCAAGTAGATCCCATCATTCTTCTCACAAAACTATTTACAGATTTTTGACTTTTCTGGGAAGGAAGGTTTTTCAAAGCTTTAAAAAAGTCATTTTTGGTGTATTTTGTGATGCTATGTTGCATTTCATAGTAAAATTATCAAACGTTTAGATATAAATTCATGCAATACCACTTTAAGGCTAATAATGTTTCAATTTTCACATTTCTGTAACTATTACTCCAATTTCACCAGCAACTCCAAAATACATAGGTTTTCTCAAAAATAACATTTTGCCAAAAGTGATTTTGGTCAATTGTCATAGCAACCAAAATGGAAAAAAATGCAATTTTTGACCATTTTCAACACTATTTACCATAACCCAACATGTCATCACCACATTTTAAAGTAAGTGGTTTAAAATATTTTAAACCGATGTAATATCAAATGATGTCATAACATGGCAAAACTACACGATTTATATTCCACAAAATCTACCCTTTGTATACCATTTTCAAGTGTGTGCCGTGCGCACTTAACATGCTCAGATTTTGTTGATTTTAATAGCATCGAAAGAATAAATCGATCTCTCAATTGGACGGGGGTGCTATATTGACAAATTGCCTCAAAATGATTGTGTGAATTAAGTGTTTAACTTGTAAAAAATGCATTTTATTTTGAAATGCCAACAAAGCACCCTCGACCGATTGAAAGATTGTTCATTTATCTAATGCTATTAAAGTGAAAAAATAAAATTAATAATAAGTGCGCTCGCCAAGCACTTGAAGTGCGGTACCCTTGTTTAAAAACGTGACAAAACTTTTCAACTTAACGTCAAAACACGGGAAATTAACATTTTTCAACTTACGTTTATGAAATTAATAAAATGAACACTTGTATAAAAAGTATATCAACCAAAAGAACAGGATATCTGCTTCCAAAATTATTACAAAAGATTAATTAGCCACTGTTTGACGTTAGTTGAAAAAGGGTTACAAATCAGGGGAAAAAACAAAAAAGCGTGCAATGGAGCTGTGACACCTAATAGTAATATTACACTGTTCTTAATGAGGTTATTGATATGATAACATCTTATCCTATAGAAAATAAGTTTTCACCTCTTGGAATTTGCTTTCATCTGAATTCATAATTCGTATTCTCAATACCAACTTTTCAGCATTATCATCATTGAATATACAATTCAAGTCATCACCAAAACCTAAAATTATAAATGACTTTTACAATATACGACAATGGTCTCTCCCTTATTTGTTAAGCATATCATAATTTGTGTAAATCAGATAATATGCGCATTGAATTATTTTCAGAAACTGAGAAAATTCTAAATTTCAGAATCGATCAACATTTCATCATTTTCACACATCAAAATGAAAGAAAAGAAAAATTATGAAACCCCCATGAACTTACCAGCTGTAATTTTTTCTGAGATCTGTTCCATGGTCAGTTTTTTATCTGTCATACGTTTTCTGTCCAATTCAATACGTAATAACCATCCTGAAATTCTTGATGCATCAAAATCTGGCATTTCATAATAAACACTGACCCATTCCTGGTCTTCAGCTATAACTGTGTTCATAGGATCTGAGTCATAATATATAGCAGTATTAGCAGTTACTTTACGTAACGTTGTATGTTCCAAACGACATAATACATCCTGAAAAACAAACATAACTGATATTAGATACTCCTAAAAGCTTGACCACTATTGCTAGGAAAAAAACCCAATGTTTTCCAGACAAGACATGCCCACATGCAAGAGATGGATAGTGAACTAGCTAAAAACAAAAGTAATTTTTTGTACAATCAGGGGCCATAATCCAGAAAGTTATGGTCTGAAATGCGAAAAGATCTTTGGGATATAAGGTATATTTTAAGTTTCATCAAAACCGGACAAAAATTGTGACCTCTAGAGAGTCCACAACCTTCGTATTACAGACTTTTATATAATTTGCGTACAAAGAGCAGTCATTTTGTTGGGCAGTTTCACTTTGATTATCCCGAAATTCGAATTCAACCTTCATTACACAATTTGCGTACAAAGAGCAGTCATTTTGTCAGAAGTTTGAACGTTTTTTTTTTTAAATTGGATGATAATTGTGACCTCTAGAGGGACCGCAAGCTAAACCAACATTACGGTGTAAAGGTTTTATTTGAATGTTTTTTTTAAATCGGATAATAATTGTGACCCCTAGAGGGACCACAAGCTAAAAACATAATTTTTCGTACAATCAGGGGCCAAAATTCATAAGTTACGATTTGATATGCACGAATAACGAAAGGAACCAAGACCATTGGGTTATAAATACGCATTTCAAGTTTCGTTAAAATCAGATGAAAATTGTGACCTCTAGAGTCTCCACAAGCTAAAAACTTGATTTTTCATACAATCAGGGGTCATAGCCCATGAAGTTATGGTCCGATACATGCCAATATAGAAAGGAACTGATCTTTGGGAGATAGACCTATATTTCAAGTTTCGTCAAAATTGGATAAAAATTGTGACCTGCAGAGTGTCCACAAACAAATTGTGGACAGATGGAAAGGGGCGACGGCATAATATGTTCATATGAAAATGTGGGCGTATAAAACCAGGATTTTTAATCTGGATCCATCCTATCATAAAGATGATATGGAAATAAAGTCATTTTTCATACCTTAGCTTTCTCAGCATCTCGAGCTGCCTGACCAACAAGATATACTGTAAGTGATGGTGTCTTTGGCTTTTTGGACACATTGATGACCTCTTTCAATCTGGGTACACCAAGGGTTACATTTTTAGCAGACACACCAGCATAATGGAAAGTGTTCAATGTCATCTGTGTGGCAGGTTCACCCAGGGACTGAGCTCCTAAAGCACCCACCATCTCACCAGGATGTACCTAAAATACAATTAAATTCTATTACAGTTCCTCCATTTACACTTACATCTAATTGATCAGAATGCAGAATATTTTAGTTAGATTAATTCCAAATCTACAATATCAATTCATGGTATCAAAGTATCTTGACAAATTTCAAATCTCTCCGGTCATTTAAGCTATAAATGCAGCTCAGTGAGACTTACCTGGGCTTGCTGAAATTTAGCTTCAATTTCACCAATTAGCCACTCAAAAGCTTCAGTGGACAATCTGAATTCTTCAGAAACACGTTTACAACACAGGGTAGATCTGATAAGAATCTTCATGAGAATTGTAGCATTGGCATTGGCTTGTATTGACAATCTATCGCTACCAGCTACAACATTTAATCTATTACATAAATCACGTACACCTGAAATATTTCAATAATTTAGATTACAACTTTAGGCTACATACACAAAATTCTGGTTCTCAGACAATTCTTCAAGAAGGTTTTTATTTTTGTGAATAAATGACTATCACAATAATACCATTTAAAGATTCTCCATTTATCTCATCAGTTGACTCATGCTGTTTATAGGAATTCACTTACATAATTACTAATTCTTGTGTTATATATTTAAAATTTACTACATGCCAAGATGAATTCAAGCTCATTTACAATCGGTACCTAAATATCAGATTATGTAGTTCTAATGTGAATGCTGCTTCTTTTATCTCGCATCTTCATGGAGTACAACTTAATTCATTTTTTTCTCATTACTAATCATCCACGAAAGAATGGACGTCAAAGATCTCTAAGAACTAAGACGAATCAATGGTCGGCATTTCCTAAGAACAACAAGCCAACAGTGAGGCTGATGTCCCCCGCCGAAATAGGAAAATAATTAGAGGACACATATAAATTTATCACAAATTATCTTTTACAAAGTATTGAACAATCAAACAGTATATCTTTACTTATAGTCTAAGCATACAATGTTTTTGATGGAATAATTATAGCATATTAAGGGGAAAACATGCTCTATGCCTACAGATCTAGAGTTTGGTTGTATCAACGGGTCTATTTTCCATCTTGCTGCAAGTTGTGCAAAGTTCACTGTTTTCTTTCTGTCATTAAATGTCAATTCATTATTGCATACTACATATTTAACTAATTTATAATAGTTTCTTTTTCAATTTGTTTTTTCTGCTTACCCTAAGCGGAACGGACAGACAGACAAACAGACAGACGGACGAACCCATTTTAATAGTTCCCTGCTTTCTTCGAAAGGCGGGGGACAATCAAAGTAGGAGAGTTATTGTTTTCCAAAGTCTCGACCAATCAAATTGCGTATCGCTCTGCTTACCCTGAGCAGAAAATGCTCATTATCAAACTTAGTCAAGGTATTACTGTAATGAAACTATACACCAAGTTTCATCAATCTCACTTAATTAGAACTAAAGTTATCGTGTCCCAAAGCATCAACCAATCAAATTGCTTATCTCTGCTTACCCTAAGCGGAAAATGCTCATCTTCGAACTCCATCAAGGCATTGACCTAATCAACACATACACCAAGTTTGAACATTCTAGCTCAATTAGGAAGAGAGTTATCGTGCCCCAAAGTATCAACCAATCAAATTGCTTATCTCTGCTTACCCTAAGCGGAAAATGCTCATCTTCGAACTCCATCAAGGCATTGACCTAATAAACACATACACCAAGTTTGAACATTCTAGCTCAATTAAAAGTTATCGTGTCCCAAAGCATCAACCAATCAAATTGCTTATCTCTGCTTACCCTAAGCGGAAAATGCTCATCTTCGAACTCCATCAAGGCATTGACCTAATCAACACATACACCAAGTTTGAACATTCTAGCCCAATTAGGAAGAGAGTTATCGTGTCCAAAGCATCAACCAATCAAATTGCTTATCTCTGCTTACCCTAAGCGGAAAATGCTCATCTTCGAACTCCATCAAGGCATTGACCTAATAAACACATACACCAAGTTTGAACATTCTAGCTCAATTAGGAAGAGAGTTATTGTGTCCCAAAAAGTGTGACGGACAGACAGACGGACAGACAGAAGGACAGACAGACGGACAGACAGACAGACAGACAGACAGACAGACAGACAGACAGACAGACAGACGAACCCATTTTAATAGTCCCCTGCTTTCTTCGAAAGGCGGGGGACAATGAGTCAATTTACAATTGTCCAGTATCATTTATATGACGGTCATTAAGATTCATCAGGGTTATGTACTTGATTGTAATAGTGCCTTCCGGTTTTAACACAAGATGTTCACTGGTGTTACTTTCCTTTGAACCAGGCAATATGAATGAGCTTCCAAACATAAAACTCACCTTCTATAACCTTGACAGGAGATAGATCAGTTTGTTTTCTTTTATCAATTCTGAAGATCTTTTGAGCATTCCAGATCATTCTTTCTAAATTACATGGCAAGACAATTTTACTATCACCAGTAGGGAAAATCTGTCGTAAGGCATTTCTATCTTCTCTTAGCTGTTCCCATTCTCTTTCGATCTCTGCTAAAGATGCTGAATCACTGACAAGATCTTTAACAATCACCTCTGCTAAACTTTGACGTAAAGATCTAAAAATAAATCCAAGAAATTAGAGTTAACTGATCTTAAGAACACATCTTTTTCAGAATTTTTTTTCTTTTCACTTGTTCAGTGCAATGAAGACCAAGTTGTCTGCAGCAAAAATAAAGAAAACAATCTATTATTTTTAGGATTGAGATAAAAAGAAAATCAAATAGATTATTTAATCTATCAGAGTAGGTGTACAAGGCTGTATTTGATTTGATCATTTAATCATCTATCATTCCTGTTCGTTTCATAATATCTGAATGTTCAATTCAGCATAATTGTCTGTCATATACAGATGAAATAGAATCATTGATGTGTCCACATTTACAAAGTCTTACCTTTCATTTGTTGGATCAAAATGAAATCTTTTTTCAAAAGCAGCATCTGATGGTTTAAGTGTAGTCATGTTCTGGAATTCTACATGAACACCATCTAGACCGTCTTCACCATACAATAACTGTGCCATGTGTTCTACTTGATTACGTACAGTACCATCGTATTTAACCATCACACTTTCCATAGCTTTAATCAAACGTCTTTGAATATAACCTGCCAGTGGAAGTAAAATATTGATGATATATTAAACAATTAAATAAAATTTTCGTCTTTCACTAGTAAAATTTGGGCTAGACTGATTCCCATAAATTGTAATATTGATTCCTATAAATAGTAATACTGATTCTAATAAATTGTAATGTGTGATGTTTCTATGTAGTTGGCTACAAATTTGCAATATATACTGAGCGCCATGGAAAACGCATCACTTTTTTTTCCCAAATATTTTATTACTAGGTGGTTTTGTGTGGTTTTGTATGTATAATATTATGCAATACTATGAACTATTGTTTCACACAATGCTCCCAAATGCAAAAAATATCGGCCCGTGTGCAAAAAAAAAAATTGCACGAGATGCACATGAAAAACCCAATATTCACGTGCAGCATTGTGTGTGAGCCCTTTAAAAGCATGTTTTCAACTTAATGTGCAGTACATGAACTGTGAAACATCAATCTGTCGTAATTACTGAAAATCAACGAAATGAAGCCATGGGAATGTCCAGGGCTGGCATGTCTACACGTGCTATTGCCAGACACTTCAATTGTCATCAGTCCACTATTGTAAGGTTGGTGGAACGTGTTCGAGTTACTGGATCAACACGTGACCGTCAACGTCCTGGTCCACAACTTGTTACAACCCAGGCTCAAGACCACTACATCTGAGTCACTCTTCTGCGTGACAGATTCTGCCCAGCGACTCAAACAGGTGCAGCAGTCGTCGGAAGACAAGGACCAGTAAGTGCCAACACCGTAACATGTCGTCTAAGAGAAGTAGGACTCCGTGCACGACGACCTTATGTTGGAGCTATCCTCAGGGATCATCACCGTCAGCGGCGTTTGATATGGGCTCAAGGACACCAGACATGGAGAAGAGTAAACTGGCAAAGTGTGCTCTTCAGTGATGAGAGTCGCTTTCATCTTTATCACACTGATGGCCGTCAACGTGTGTGGAGACGTCTTGCAGACTGCTGCGTCTTCAAAACGAATCGATGGGGTGGGGGAAGTGTAATGGTGTGGGGAGGCTTTACATTTCATCACCGGACCGCCCTACACATTTGCAGGGGTCGCGTTAATGCTGTAGCCTACCGTGATGATGGCCCGTGGAGGACACACGCGCTACTGACATCTGTGTCGTACTTTTGGTTTTGACCCCACTGACTTTGTACCCTTGATTACAGATTAAACATCCATAAGTGTACAAATGTGTTGTTATTGATGTGTTCCCATTTGAATATTGTTCACAATAAGAAGCAAAATAAATAAGATATGTTTACAGGATCATTTTGTTATACGAAAAACTAAGTGATGCGTTTTCCATGGAGCTCAGTATAGATTCCTATTAATTTGTAAGTTATACATTGAATTCATAAACCTTGTTGATAACCATGTTACATACCAGTTTCAGCAGTTTTTACAGCTGTATCAATCAGACCTTCTCTACCTCCCATACCGTGAAAGAAGAACTCAGATGGTGTCAAACCGGCTAGATAGGAATTTTCGACAAATCCTCTGGATTCTGGACCATAATCATCTTTAATGAAATGGGGTAAGGTACGATATTTAAAACCAAATGGTATACGTTTACCCTCAACGTTCTGTTGACCTACACAAGCAATAACCTGTAACAAACAATAATTCAATTTACTTATCTTCATCCGATTCAAACAAAGTAAAAAAGTCAATTTCAGATAGTATGATGCATTTAATCTCAGAGTGCTTGTAAAGAATATTTACCATTTTAAATGAGACAAACCTACCTGTGAGATATTAATTTTAGATCCTTTGGATCCAGCTACTACCATAGCTTTGAAGTTGTTAAATTCAGACAAGGACTTCTGAGCTTTTCCTCCTGTCTTGTCTCGAGCATCGTTCAGAATTCTGTTGACTTGATTTTCAAATGTTTGTCGTAGAGTATTACCAGGAGATGGTTCTAAATCATCATTATGAGCTTTCTCAATAACATCTATCACCTCAGCCTAAAAATAATTAACGTTTCATTTTAAACAAAATTCATAATGGATCACCTAATTCTACCTAGCATGATGAAAATAATTAGTAAATTGGTTGATTTAATATCTAGAACATACCTTAGCTTTTCTAATAGCATCCTGGATATCAATATAGGTCTGTGGATCAGCAATGGTATCACCAATACCAATACTATGGCCTTCTATCAGTAACCAGTTATTAATAACTGTTTGAATATTACCATAAAGTTCTCCAGCAATCTCAAAACCCAGTTCCATAAATACAATATGAGCCAAAGAACCAGATGAGGTTCCCAGTGTCTTTTTACATAAAATACCACTTATAAGTTCACCATCTTCTATTAATACCTACAATCATATGTATACATACAACTATTACTCTAAAATCTTAATGTAAAGCATATATACGTAGACCATAAATATCAATAGATCAGAAATTTATGCGCATTGATGTTAATTTCAGAGAAAGATAAAACCCTCTTCAAAATCGATCAAATTTCATCATATCCATTCCAATTTCTGATTTATATATAACATATAGGCTATCACCTCCACATAAAAAAAGAATAAAGGTTTAATTAAATGTATTATAAAGGTTTGATTTCATTTCGTGGTCCGGGGGTTAAAATTTTTATATTAGCAGATCCAATGTGTAATAAACGACCTAACAATTTTTTGTTTCAGAGTTTGGTGGAGATGGCAATCAGTTTTATTGCTCATGTAAAATGTCTTGTTCTCATTGTTCCGATTTCAGTGTGAGCACTATCATTTATTTGCAACACGTAGAAAGCCCTGTCTGCTTCACCTGTATCAAATAATGTATAGAATGTCCCTGAATGGAAAATACAGTACATAATGTCTATACAATACCTTTGTATCTCCAGGTGAAATCCATTTATACGGTCCACTATCTTCATCATCAGGATGAGTACTGTGTGTACGGATACAATTTACACGACCAGGTATAATTAGAGAGAACAATTGTTTTCCTGTCCATAATGGTGATGGTTTTAAAATGGCAGGTTGTGGCATTCTTCCATCCCATATAGGTAAAAACATGACCAGTTTCATCATCTCAGCCTAGAATAATAAACAAAACAAAAATACTTATGACTATACATTGTCCTGATAGAACTTTCTCTGCCAACATGGAACCCCAGATTACCAAGCCAATGTCAAACTCTTTTCTGCTATGTTCTTCATAACTATATGTTTCATACAAAAAAGATAATTACCCTGTCTAAAAATACATCTCTTTTTGTCATTTTTCTAACAGCTGTCAATGTATCTTGTACAATACCCATGACTGGTCTGTTAGACTGGGGTGTAATAATCATCCGAGGTACAGCAGCTAGATTTAAAATCTCAGCTTTAGTTTCCAAAGACTGAGCTAAATGTAGATTCATTTCATCACCATCAAAATCAGCATTGTATGGAGATGTTACACTGAAACAGATGTAAAACAATTTATATGATTACATATCAAACATGTTCAGCATTCTACAACATACTGAATGTTTTCTCCTTACATACTTATTTCAAACATTAATAATAATAATAATAATAATATTTATATAGCGCTGTAACACCACACCTCAGTATGCTCGAAGCGCATTAAAAAGTTATCTCACTACGAGTTATATATAGCGTCTAAATAACTAAGTTTTTATTCTTGATTTGAATATATCTAGTGATGAGGAACTTATGATATCTTCGGGTAGTTCATTCCACAAAGCAGCTGATGTATAACCAAACGATCGCGCACCAAATGTTTTTAAATTGATGTCAGGTTTATATAAACGTGATTGCTTTGAAGATCTTAGCATTCTGTTCGGCACATATTGTACTGTGAGATCTTGAATGTAATCTGGAGAGGTTTTGTGGACTGATTGGTAGGTGAGCGACAGAATTTTATAATCAATCCTTTCACGAAGTTGTAGCCAATGCAACGATTTCAATACTGGAGTAATGTGTTCTCGCGGTTTAGTTCTGGTCACAATTCTGGCTGCTCTGTTCTGTAATTTTGGTAATTTGGATAACTGCTCCAATGACACACCAGTTAGTAAGCTGTTGCAGTAATCTAATCGTGACATTACCAAAGATCTGATTAAAATTGCTGCGGATTCATTTTTCAGAAAATGACGAATTGCACCTATGTTTCTCAAGTGAAAATTGCAGATTGAGCATAAATAACTAATGTGTTTCTCCATAGTTAGTCCAGAATCCAGGAAGACACCAAGATTCTTCACAGTATCAGAAAAATATATGGTGGACTGGCCGATGTTAAGAACATCTGCGTGGCTCTTTTTTAGTCTTTGCGTTGGAGCTACTAACAAGGCTTCAGTTTTTGAATCGTTTAACTTAAGCATGTTTGAGGACATCCAAGTTTTGACTGCATCAATACAAGATTCCATGTTCAGACATACAGACTTTTGGTATTGAAGATCGGTATGGAAACTATCAATAAGTTGAGTGTCATCTGCATAGGCGTGGTAATCAACATGCTTCTCGCGAATAACCTTGCCTAGTGATCGTGTGTACATGGTGAAAAGAATGGGTCCCAAAACAGATCCCTGGGGGACACCACACGAAATAAATAAACTACCAGAATTCACCTTGTTTATTTCTACGCATTGTTTCCTGTCAGTCAGATATGATGAGAACCATTTCAAGACACTATTGTCTAAACCGTATTCCAGTTGCAGCCGATCAAGCAGTATTCTGTGGTCTATGGTATCGAATGCTGCAGACAGATCTAGAAGCACTAGCAAACCGATATTTCCAGCATCGACAGACATCTTTATTTTATCAAGAACACAAATTAGGGCGGTTTCAGTGCTGTGGGCTTCTCTATAAGCTGACTGATATTTGTCAAGTAGTCCAAACGAGGTGAGATGCTCAACAAGTTGTATTTTGACTGCTTTTTCTAAAACTTTGGAAAGGAATGGCAAATTTGAAACAGGGCGATAGTTGTTAAACACCTCAGAATCCAATGATGGTTTTTTAAGAAGGGGTTTTACAACAGCCCTTTTGAAACATTTAGGAACAGTTCCGGAGTTTAGACTTTGATTAATGATTTTAGTAATGATAGGCAGAATCACATCCAATATTTTGAGAAGGAACTTTGTAGGGAGAACATCTAGTTGGCAAGAGGTTGGCTTCAAATGTAGAATGATGTTTTTAACATCCGCTTCAGTGGAAAGTTTGATATGTTCAATACCTTACAGCAGATCGATAGTGTTTTTATTAAAGGGAAAAACACACAACAGGTATCATTTACCTATTCCTTGATCTGTGTTCATGTATTGCATGGAGTGGATCAGAAATATGCGCATTTGTTTGATTTCATTAAAGATTTGAAAATCTTCAAAATCGATCAACCTTTCATCATATCCATTACTTGCCAAATTTATATTACAAGACATTTCATGTCTTCTTTACCCATACCAAGATTGAAACCTGTGAGTAAAGAGTCCTCACTGCACAAATTCATAACTGAAAGAACATACCTCAAGTTCATTCTAAACGTAGACCAGGACAAAACTTTAACTTTATGACACATCATAGACATTTTATGTAGTGTTGGCTGTCGGTTGAACACAATAACATCATTATCCTGCATATGTCTTTCAACCTACAATAAAACAGCTTACTTAACAATTCGTTTGTAAATATATTGATATAAAACGTAAAATTACATATATTCGGATAAAATCTCAACAAATTATAAAGGAATGTCATAAAATATTCATTGTGATGTAAAAATAATATTTACCTTATAACCAATCTGTAAATGAAGATCACTGGCTTTAGGATGATATCGTAAATCTATTCTTTCACCATTATCTCGTATAATATACTTAGCACCTGGATATTGATTGGCTCCTCTATTTACCAACTGCTGCATTCTACACAAATAAAACCGATGATTACAGAAATAACTGATTTACTTGCTTACATGTTCAAAATATTGGTCATTATGTGTGGTTTGTGCATTATTAGTCCAAATGTTTTGTATCAATATGTATTACCCACATTGTCTCGCTCAAGACAGTAAAACAGTATAAAATACTATCCTACCTGTGCATGTGACCACCATCTTTTACAAATATGTACCATTCGCAAAATGGCTGTGCAATTATTTGAATTAATGCTACGGCAATATCTAACTAAGAAGAACTTCACATCTGTATTTTGACTACGGTTATGTTAATCATTATTTATCATTTGGAAATTAAACTTTAAATTCATCCCAAATACTTACAAATCAATGTTGAAAGGTGTAACCAGTTCTGGGAATGTGAGATTCTGTGCAATACTTTTAGGTACCCCGACTTGATCAATACGTAAATTAGGATCAGGTGTGATGACAGTTCTACCAGAGAAATCAACACGTTTTCCCATCAAATTACCACGAACACGACCTTCTTTACCCTTTAATCTCTGTTTGATTGATTTAAGTGGACGACCTGATTTTTGAACAGCCTGAAATGAAAATCACAAAAAAACATGGTAAAAAGAATATATACAAAAAAACATTCTTCAATTTACTGTCAATGCTTTATATTTTATTTATTAACGTATTTACAATCGATCTCTGCCTCGCTGGATTAATAGATTAAAGAAAGATCGATTCTAGCTAACATTCATCTATTTGGATGCTTTTAAAAAAAGGTAATAATTTCCAAAAAATTAACCTTGGGTAAACCTGGCATATCATTATCAACAAATGTAGCACAATGAAACTGTAACATCTTTGTATCTTCTAATATAATGTGAGCAGCTGCACCATTCTGTTCATTTCTGTTCAGTTGATTATTAGCTTTGATTATATCTGCCAGTTTGTGGGTCAAATCATCCTAAAAAAAAATCAAAAAAAAATCAAAAATAACAAGCCAACAGTGAGGCTGATGTCCCCCGCCGAAATTGCAAAATAAATAGATGACACATATTAATTAATCGCACATTTATTTTTTTCACTAAGTTTCATCACTCTCTATCAGATAGAATCAAGATTATCTTGTCCCAAACCATCGACAAATGAAATCGATTAGCTCTGCTTAGCTTCAGCTCGAAATGTTAATTATTGAACTCAGTCAAGACATTCACCTAATGAACATCTACATATACATCAAGTTTAAACATTCACCTAATAGACACCTATGCCAAGTTTGAACATTCTACCTCAATTAGAAGGAGAGTTATTGTGTTCCAAAGTTTCTACCAATCAAATTGCTTATCACTCTGCTTACCCTCAGCAAAAAATGTTCATTATCGAACTTAGTTAAGGTATTCATATAATAAATCTATACACCAAGTTTCATCAATCTCACTTAATTAGAACTAAAGTTATCGTGTCCCAAAGCATCAACCAATCAAATTGCTTATCTCTGCTTACCCTAAGCGGAAAATGCTCATCTTCGAACTCCATCAAGGCATTGACCTAATCAACACATACACCAAGTTTGAACATTCTAGCTCAATTAGGAAGAGAGTTATCGTGCCCCAAAGTATCAACCAATCAAATTGCTTATCTCTGCTTACCCTAAGCGGAAAATGCTCATCTTCGAACTCCATCAAGGCATTGACCTAATAAACACATACACCAAGTTTGAACATTCTAGCTCAATTAAAAGTTATCGTGTCCCAAAGCATCAACCAATCAAATTGCTTATCTCTGCTTACCCTAAGCGGAAAATGCTCATCTTCGAACTCCATCAAGGCATTGACCTAATCAACACATACACCAAGTTTGAACATTCTAGCCCAATTAGGAAGAGAGTTATCGTGTCCCAAAGCATCAACCAATCAAATTGCTTATCTCTGCTTACCCTAAGCGGAAAATGCTCATCTTCGAACTCCATCAAGGCATTGACCTAATAAACACATACACCAAGTTTGAACATTCTAGCTCAATTAGGAAGAGAGTTATTGTGTCCCAAAAAGCGTGACGGACAGACAGACGGACGGACAGACAGACGGACAGACAGACGGACGGACAGACAGACGGACGAACCCATTTTAATAGTCCCCTGCTTTCTTCGAAAGGCGGGGGACAAAAATTATAAGGATGTGACACAATCTGATTGAAACAAAGATTCTATTTCGTTTCGTTTTTTATAGTTCAAAATTTTGTTTTAGTACACTAGGATCTGGAAGAGTTATATAACCTGTGTTCTGGATGATGTGAGGGGTTAGCCAATGAAACAGTCTGTTACGGCGAGTTTTTGACATTAGGTGCACAGAATTGTGGGTAACCCACTAGATGGATCAACGCCGATTGTTTCATCAAATCTCTGATGTCATAGGGTCAAAAGCCACTTGTATGACTTCTCACGTAACCTTCCACAACAACCGGTCAGATCTTCATGTAGTAGTAGATGTCATCAAAAGTATAATATAACAGGATAATTTGACTACCAAACCAAAACCTCACATATTTCAACAGTTATTCAGCCTTGCTGAAACTAATTCCACATTTACTACCTGAATTAATCTTCTTTAATATGAAAGGGCTTGCCCATCGTACAATGGATAGTTGTTACCAAACAAATAGATTTTTTCTTTTTAATTTTTAAGAAAACGTAGTACATTTCTGAAATTTGGTTTAAACTTTTAATCAAGTTGAGTTTGCGGCTCATGTTTCGTGGTAATGAATCGTTGCTCACGTAAAGCGAATATGGGTGAGTAAATTTAACCACTCACCATACTTGTGCAAGGTTAATTTTGCTTTAGTGCTTCACTGCATGCCATCATTTTCTTTGTGGATATGAAATTGCTTATTCACTTAATGGGATATCTTGTCTTCAAATAAATCTTTTTAAACATGCATACTAAATATACTAGGTACTAACCTGATTTCTTGCTGATCCAAACATGACAACAGCTGGTCTTACGGCCAATGGAGGGACAGGAAATACGGTCAGTATCATCCAGTCAGGTCTAGAAAAGCGAGGATCTAAACCAAGTATGAGACACTCCTCATCGGAGATGCGTTTAAATATTTCTAGTACTCGCTCTGCGGACAATGTAATTTTTTTCTCTTGGGATTCTTCATTTACATTCTTCCATTCTGCTATTAAATCTAGTGCTGCTTTCTTTATCTTAGGTTGCCATCTACCACAACCACCATGACTCTACAAAACAATATTATATAGATCACAAAGACTGCAAAATTTGTTGGACCCCCAAGGTACTAATAGTTTAATAAGTAATTAAATGAAATGTTAAGATTACTTTCATTTTGACCTATCCTCAACACTGCTCAAGTAGAATGCTTACCTTTGGGAAAAATGAAACAAAATAACTTGCATATGAATTATGATCGTTACCTTTTTAGGTTCTCCATTTTCTTCCTCTTGGCCAGCTTTCTCCATTTCATCACCACCCTCACAAATCTTTCTTACTTTACATAAATCATAAACATGAGCTAATCTCTTTCTAGGATAACCTTTTGACTTTGACAAAATATCTCTGATTTTGGGACTTGACTGAAAGTGAAACATTAACAAAATTAAGTACTTTTCATATCGCTATTAACATCTATTACCTACCTGAATATTTTCACGTGAATCTAATTCAATTAGCAACTTTACTTGAAAATAATAATCTCAACTAAAATTACAGCTCGAGTGGCCAACAACTTTAGATTTACTTTGCCAATTAAATTTAGTCTTATCGATCTATGCACTGTTTGGAATTTTTGAGGTTTTCTTTGAATTGTCTATATTAGAAAGATGTTCTTATACTTACTGTGTCTGCTAATATTTTTGAACAATAAAAACAAACACATCTCAGGATCTTCATAATTTTTGTCATGAAAGCTACATGGTACACAGGTTTGGCTAATTCTATGTGGCCAAAATGGCCTGGACATTCTGTCATGTTTCCGGCACAGGTCTGACATCTTGATTGTCGATCTATGACACCTTGTCTTGGGTCCATCAATCCACATAATTTAGGTCGACCACCTTCTGTTGTTTCTGAATATTTGATTCCACCTTCTGTAACAGACATCCGTCTCTGAAAATAGAAACGTATTAACATTAGTCTAGCAAACTTATTTCAAATGAAACGTAGTGAAAGGCCCTGAAAAGCAGACAATTACAAAAAAAAGATGCTTTGATTTGAATAACTCCATAAGTGCATAAATCACTATTTGAGTAATATTAATTCAACAATGCAACACATGACTAAATATTGATTGAACACCATTTTTGGCATACAATTTTATGGAAAAAATACAGTCAAGAAATAGAATATCTTCGGTGGGGAGTCAAAAGGTTGTATCCGAGTTTTGCGAAATTGTCTAGGAGAGCCCAATATCGCATCGAGGTTAAGAATCAAAATGTCGTACAGATACATCACTTCCAAAATGCATTTAAAATGATGTAGTTCTAAAGTTTCCGCAAATAATACTGTAGAAAAATGAAAGTGTAGCCGTTTAAACAGTATGTAGCTATTCGCACATATCTGGTTAAACATTTAGTGCAGAAATAAGGTGTGAAAGCTAGTTATTTGCCATTTTATACAGCAAAGATCTATCTCGTGAAAAAATTCACCATACCTATTTCAATGGAATCAATGTCATAAATTTCACACTGTAGGGGCTAACAATAATCTCAATTAATACATAATTAACCCTAAAACAATACTGGCTATTTTTTGTTTGAATGTAATGCTTTGGTGGGACTCGAAAGTTGATTTGTTTCAAGGAAATATGACATTTTTGCTCTAAATATTGATACTTTTTGGTAACACCCCATATACAACATTTTGAAACAACATCTACAAAACCCATTTTTATTGGCTTAGAAATACGACAACTAAATTAAAAGATGCGCAAGAAAATTCTCATTCTGAAGAAGCAATGAGAATTTTATAAAATATGCCAGATACCTTTTTGACCCTCCACTGAAGTTATTATAAATGTTAAGAATCTGAGGTGATACTTCCATGAGAAAAATTTGACAATGTACCAAGAGAAATCTAATCATTTTTTAAAGGGGCATTAGGTAAAATGACAGTTCTCGCCATAATAGTTAATAAATATATACATGTATAATGAAAACAGAATATGCCGAAAAATTCCAGTCCAATTACTTCACTCTGAATCGAGATATTTGCGGTTCAATTTTAGGCCAGCCTTGATCGTCATTACTATCGTTGGTACGATAATAAACAAAGTCTTGATTACCGGTATCCATTTTTATGTTGAATTATCCATCACAAAATATATTCAAATCCACTAAATATCGCAGGCTAACAATGGAATCGAGATTTGATTATAATCTGGATAAGTTAATTAATGTCTAATAATTTAGATAACATTTCAGACCTAAAGAAAGACCTGCAATAGGCAGATTTAACTCTTGCATAATGCATGTTTAATAATATCATATCTAAAATCTGTGATCTTCATTTAAGGGATCATTATGTAAAATCCAAGAACTAACCTACTCAGAGAGATATTTTCACCAGTGTTTGTTAAAACTACCTGGTAAACCCCCCCCCCCCCCAAAATGGCTAGGTTGATTTCCCTTAACTAAAACGCCAATCTTGATTATATTTTGGAGAATAAAACTGTTTAATTTTGTTAAAAGCCCTTAACATCCTCTACCTTACGGACGAGCAATTAACTAATTTTACTATTTCAAACAACTTAAACCTGTCAGTCTTTGTATGGAAATGGAGAACAGTGTCCCAAGCTGTATTATACGATGTCTGGATAAAACCAGATTTTTATTTTATAAAAATAACATGTAGTTGAAATTTATCTTTCATTACCAAGTACAGCATGCAGGTTATTGCGAGTCATGCACTGTATAGACCTCTAAAAGAACGGCAATAGATTATCAGGTCACCCAACGAAATAATTGACACAAAATCTTGAAAGAGTTACATGTCCTGATAAGCGGTTTTGATGTTCACGTCTAAATGACTCAATATTTTGAGCTGAAATTTTACGACAGTGTAAATACACCATTCCTCTAAATTTTTGCATTTCATACATACACAGGCTTTTATTTCTGAGACACGGTTAAAATCAGGATGAGATTTCTTATCAAAATGTTATATTTTCATTTGCTTTAAGCATGTCTTGGGCTGGATAAATTCCCAATCAATGTATCCTCGATCTCCATTTTAGAAAGTAACATTGTCAATGTCAATGGAGAAAATTTACTTTGTAGGATGAACTGTTTGAGACTGCACTATTAAACAATTTAAATAGGTTGAAAGAGTTGACAATACTGAAACTGTAGGACACCAGTTGTAACCAGTTGCTAATGTTACAACAGAAGATGTTAATTCGACCAACACCTTGCTTTTGTCATAGATATTGTAAAATTGCAGGATGAATGCGGGTAGTTGTCAGGTAAAAATTAGGCCTACACAACTTTCAGTTTTCAATAATAGGCTTGACCCTACCTATTTCAACTTAATTTTAATTTTACAAAGAACAGCATGCTTCAAATAAGCTATGACACTAAATGTGATTATAATTTCAACAAACAACAAAAATATCAATTTTTAATTCAATCCAGTATTAGCCTATTGTTAGGCAATAAATACTCAGAACATACTATTTCATCTGGTCCTAATATACCAAACTGTACTTTGGTAACAATCTTCAAAGGAGCATTAGAATCGCCTGTATACGCCATTTTCTTTCTCTGCGATAGGACGATAGAAATTCAAAAAAGACAAATATATAAAAATATCGCGACTAAAACTTCTTTTCGGGTCAATTATTCATTTCAGCGGACTATTCCACACATTCCTGTCGCCAAGACTCCAACGGGAATATACAGCGACACGAGAAGTTCCTTATTTTCTAAAGTTCACTTCTCAGTTTTGCCAACTCGTACACTTCGTACGAGTGCTTAAGCTCTGGCTGAAAGAGTCGAGTATATATACATTTTCATGCTCTGGGGTTTACCCCTACTTGTTCACGGACAAAATTGGAGTTGAAAGGTCATGTTTTCGTCCCGCGATTACTCAGGCTGTTAAAAATAGAAATCATCGGAAGCGACCCCTGGCGTTAATATTTGCAACAGGTGCGTGCGCATGTAACAACAAACATGGACGACAAGGGATGATATAAAAATAAAAATAGAGGTTTTTTGTCATTTTATTTCTTATCTATTATTGTGTGAAACAATTTCATAACTGAACAGCAACATTATTATGAGATTTACACATTATAACAATCAAACTCATACGTAAATTTTGAACCAATTTTTAAGATAGATTTTTAGACCTATTTTTGTTTGATTTGATGAATGATGATTGTTTTTTCGTCATGAACTTATCACACCGGAAAGCCCTATTCTAGATAATTTAACGTTGTAGGTTCTTTTTTTTTAGCATAGTAAGCTATGTATGTTTGATACTTTGATCTTTCCTGTATCTCATAAAATTGGATATGGGTAAGGTCCATCATAATTTTTGATGGCCAAATGAATAATTCTGGAATAAATAAACAGAAATTTATTATTATATAGTTCTAGTTATTATTGACATCCCATGAATGTAAAATTGTAATGACAAGACCTCTTGATTAAAAGGTCAAAAATAAAATATTAGATTGCATTTGTGTGTAATATATTATATTAACCATCATACCAGTGTAATAATTTTAACTGTAAATTTGCATTGCCTGCTTGTACCAAATTGTAAAATTACCAGTACCACGGTACATTTTTAGATATTAATATGTTATAAAATTGTTATATTGACAGATGACGCAAGCCAATGGGGTGATATTACCCTGTCAATTACCAACATGGACTCAAGTGAAAAGGACACTTACAAGTTTGAAAGAAAAATGTCTTACAGAAACCACAACTGTAGAAGAAATAACCACACTCCTCAATTCTCTTTCCGAGATAAACACCTCAACAGGTTCGGACAAAGATCTACCATGGTATAAGAAAAATTCCAAGAGTGGAGCCTCAAAGCATGGCCATTCCTATGTGTGGTTGGGATTTGGTCAATTTCTTGGAATGATTGATGCAGAAGACAGAAATAGAATAATGCACCATACCTTACCTGGCATTATACAGTTAGCTATAGATATTGATACATTTCCATCAACAGGTGTACAACAATGCTCACAGCAGAATGGTGAGTTACATTTAGAATCTAAATGATTTATTGTATAATGTTATAATTTGGCTAAGTTACCAGTACATGGATAATTGACTGAATATTGGAGATATCTTCAATTATTTAAAATCTCTAAATCAAGTTTGATTTTGCAAACTAAAATTTTAATGGTAGTATGTACACTGTAAGGGTAGGTATGTCTACTTTACCCTTAATTTCTAGGCCTGATATTACCATAAAGCCAAAATTTCCAATTTTATGAAATAACAGTTAATTTCAAGCTGTAAAAGGCAGTTAGTCACTCACACTATCTGATCCAGTTACATGTAACACATCTTTAATAGGCTAGGTGTATCTCTATTGATTGAATGATTAATATACATTGTCACATCCTTAGGATTTATATTAGGATTCATATTGAAACACACACATCATGTATATTGGTCATTAGGGGTTTGTATAAATTTATTCTACAAAATATCCATATTAATCATTAGGATTATATACTTCAAAACCCTTAGAATTGGTAATGTCCATTTAGTATTATATTAGAAAAACAAGCTTACCATTTTATTTCAGAAAGCACAACTGTTCTTGCAAGGAGTTTTATAGCTTCAATTTTGGCATGTGGGTTTTTGTGTTTATATCAAGCAAGACATAGGAGTGGAAAATTAAATGAAATCAACTTCACAAGTTTTCTGAAAAATCTGTATTTGTAAGTAAACATTTATTATCCCTCATATTCCTGAGCCCACATGACTCAGATATTAGGTTACTGATTGGGAATACAATTTAAGCTCTTACAGATAAGACAGAAAAGAGTATTAATTTAAAAATTAATCTACTGTCTGAACCTTCCTATTTTTTTAAACAGCTTTCTTCGATTATGAACAAACTATGTAACTTTGTATATGATAAACTTACCTGTGTGTTTGAAATCAACTCTGGTTAAATAAAATCCATTGCACAATTAAATATCCCAATGAATAAAAAATTGAAAAATTTGACATGTTTACATATATTTTTGACAGAGTACAAGAGAACACTGCATTTGTCACGTGTTGGGCGAAACCAATGAGGCTGTTGTGGGGGTGGTTTAACTTTGACAGAGAGTTGGACAACCGCATGTTGCAATGAAAACAAACCGCGTTTGAGTTTGAGCGACGAAAAATATCAACTGAAGGCAATTACATAGAAGATTTATATTGAAACCATTGATGGCCAGTCTGCCAAATTTTATTCACAATGAAAATATCAATGATTGCATGGATACTCGTAAAAATAAAGTCACATATAAACTAAAACTTTCATATCATCTTTATATTATAAATAATTTAACAAACAACATGGATACAATTTTAAAGTCTGTGAAACGAATGTCATTAATTTTGTGTCAAGTTTGTGTTCAAAAAAAATTCTCTCATCCGACTAATCAAATAATTAAAACAAAATATTTCAAAAGGAAATCTATAAACAGGGATTTTACAAGAATGTAAAAAGATGGTAACAAAATAAAGTGATACAGGCAATTATATGTGTGAACGTCCAAACTCAATACCAAGCCGAGACTGATAGCTTATACCTTGAGTTGTTGTAAATGTACCCCAAACCATTTCAACGTGGCATGTTGTCACCCCTTTATACGAAATGATCTCTCCCGAAGAGTGACGTAATCGGGCTCCATTTTGGTATTGCCCGAAGTCAAAATTTGTGGGAGTTCAATTATTCAAAAGAGAACTTTTTTATTCGTTAGGATATTTAATTGTACAGTGGATTTTATTTAACCAGAGTTGATTTCAAACACACAGGTAAGTTTATAATATCCAAAGTTACATAGTTTCTTCACATTCGAAGAAATTCGTTTAAAAATAGGAAGGTTCGGACAGCACATAATTGTGTCTATATTATTTCAATTTTTAAATCCATCCTCTTGGATGGCTGTAGGGCTTTGAAAGCTGGATGTTCATTACTAAGTACAATTAAAGAAGTATTCAGGATGACATTCTAAATTATTTTGTCTTTAGCAATACATGTATTGTCTTTCAGTTTTAGACCGTTAACTTTTGTTCATGTTCATACCTGATGATGTCCTATATATCCCGGGAATTCAATAAACTCAAATAAATGAGCTTTTTGTCGTAGAATTACTTTTGCCAACATTCTACATACCCCATGTCCTGTGCTTGATCAGCATAAGGTAGACAGAAGCCACTACCACAGTTTGATTGGTTTACCTTTATATCTTCTGTTTAAGTTAAGATGATGTAAATACATTGTAACATACATGTACATGATAGAGTATGAACACACTTGTTTTAAATGCTATTTGTTTCAATGTAAATATACATCAAGTATTAGAGGTACATGTACATGTATTATATGTATACTGAGCGCCATGGAAAACGCATCACTTTTTTTTCCCAAATATTTTATTACTAGGTGGTTTTGTATGTATAATATTATGCAATACTATAAACTATTGTTTCACACAATGCTCCCAAACGCAAAAAATATCGGCCCGTGTGCAAAAAAAAAATTGCACGAGATGCACATGAAACACCCAATATTCACATGCAGCATTGTGTGTGAGCCCTTTAAAAGCATGTTTTCAACTTAATGTGCAGTACATGAACTGTGAAACGTCAATCTGTCGAGCTAGAGATGCCGAGACTTACTGAAAATCAACGGAATGAAGCCATGGGAATGTCCAGGGCTGGCATGTCTACACATGCTATTGCCAGACACTTCAATTGTCATCAGTCCACTATTGTAAGGTTGGTGGAACATGTTCGAGTTACTGGATCAACACGTGACCGTCAACGTCCTGGTCCACAACACGTTACAACCCAGGCTGAAGACTGCTACATCCGGGTCACTCATGACAGATTTTAAATGATTTTTTTTACAAATTTTTAAACAAAGATTTGATATTAAATGAATGTGAAAGAAATTAGTGCTAGATGCACAAGATTAAATGATACCCGGATTACAGTGTAAACACAGAGTGATTTGGTTCATACATGTATGACTAAACAATTAAACATGTATTTACATGTAAATATCAGAATATTAAATATGCTGAGGACACTGGATATGTTTAGTGAATAAAACCGGTTAATTCTTTGTTAAAGACCTGGAATAATGTTTATGCCAGTCTGGAGCTCTATGATAATTATTGAGGTATTCAAAGCAGCCATATTCACTATACATGTGCAGTAAGACAGAAGCTAGAATTATTTGAATTAACTACATGTAGTATAACATTTTATTTGACGAAGAACATATAATGGCTCATTTAAATGTAGCAGGTAGTACATGCAACTAGTGATTACATAAGGCACCAGACTTAATTGGATTCAAGAGATTATTAAAATCACATCTGTTTAAAGTCATAGCACCATCATCAATCATAGCACCATCATCATAATAATAATAATAATTGATAGCGTCAACAATTCAACTCCGCGAGCTGCTCTCGGGCGCTATACATAAGTACAACTAATATAAAATTACAACAATCACAACACATTAATCCATTAAAAAAAACATAAACAAAAAACAGAGAACATTATTTTTATATGCCCACATTTTCATGTAGACGTATTATGCCGTCGCCCCTGTCCGTCCGTCCACAATTTGTTTGTGGACACTCTACAGGTCACAATTCTTATCCGATTTTGACGAAACTTGAAATATAGGTTTATCTCCAAAAGATCTCGGTTCCTTTCGATATTGGCATGTATCGGATCGAAACTTCATGGATTATGGCCCCTGTTTGAACGAAAAATCACGTTTTTGGCTTGTTGACCCTATAGAGGTCACAATTTTTATACGTCGTATTATGCCGTCGCCCCTGTCCGTCCGTCCATCCACAATTGTTTGTGGACTCTCTACAGGTCACAATTTTTATCCGATTTTGACGAAACTTGAAATATAGGTTTATCCCCAAAAGATCTCGGCTGCTTTCGATATTGGAATGTATCGGATCGAAACTTCATGGATTATGGCCCCTGTTTGTACGAAAAATCACGTTTTTAGCTTGTGAACACTATAGAGGTCACAATTTTTATCCGATTTTGTTGAAACTTGAAATCTAAGTTTATAATCCAAAGATCTCAGTTCCTTTCCATATTCGCGCATATCGGACCGTAACTTCCTGAATTATGGCCCTGATTGTACCAAAAATCGTGTTTTTAGCTTGTGGACACTATAGAGGTCATAATTTTTATCCGATTTAAAAAACTGTTCAAGTATATCACCGTTACACCCTAAGGATGGCTGAGTTCGAATTTCGTGAAAATCGGCCCGAAATTGACAGACAAAATGGCGGCCGTTCGTTCTCAAATAGCGTAAAAATATGGTATATCAATGTTGTGGACACTATAGAGTTCGCAATTTTTATCCAATTTTGTTGAAACTTGAAATCTAGGTTGATAATCCAAAGATCTCGGTTCCTTTCGATATTCGTGCACATCGGACCGTAACTTCTTGAATTATGGCCCCTGATTGTACCAAAAATCGTGTTTTTAGCTTGTGGACCCTATACAGGGCATAATTTTTATCCGATTTAAAAAAACGTTCAATTATATCACAGTTACACCCTAAGGATGGCTGAGTTTGTATTTTGTGAAAATCGCCCGAAAATTGACAGACAAAATGGCCGCCGTTCGTTCTCAAATAGCGTAAAAGTATGGTATATCAATGTTGTGGACACTATAGAGGTCACAATTTTTTTCCGATTTTGTTGAAACTTGAAATGTAACTTTATAACCCAAAGAACTTGGTTCCTTTCGATATTCGCGCATATCGGACCGTAACTTCCTGAATTATGGCCCCTGATTGTACGAAAAATCGCGTTTTTAGCTTGTGGACCCTATAGAGGTCATAATTTTTATCCGATTTAAAAAAACGTATTATTATATCACCGTTACACCCTAAGGACGGCTGAGTTTGAATTTCATGAAAATCAGCCCAAAATTGACAGACAAAATGGCCGCCGATCGTTCTCAAATAGCTTAAAAATGTGGTATATCAAGGTTGTGGACACTATAGAGGTCACAATTTTTATCCGATTTTGTTGAAACTTGAAATATAAGTTTATAACCCAAAGATCTCGGTTCCTTTCGATATTCACGCATATCGAATTGTAATTTCCTGAATTATGGCCCTTGATTGTAGGAAAAATCACTTTCTTGTTAGCTTGTTCTCTATCCATCTCTCGAAAATGTGGGCGTATCCTGCCTGGCAGCCGCTGGTGTACACATGGTAAAAGTCTTGACACAAACACAGCTAGAACCGTATTCAATCAGTTGTAAATTTGATTAAAAAGTTCGGTTTTGAGATACTTTTTAGAACCTTTAATAGAATTTGCGCTTTTGGTTTCGTTTGATATTGAATTCCATAACTTTGGAGCACCCACTGCGAAAGATCTATCACCGGAGTTGGTTTTTTAAAAAGGCTTAATTAAGAGGTTGTCTGATTGTGATCGAAGGGTTCTGCAAGGTTTATTGGTGTTGAGAAGGTCTCTAAGGTTTGATAGGGTTATGAGCAAATACAATGTACATGTACCTAGTAATATGGAGTTTACCATGTTAAAATTACACTTTTTTTATATTATTATTTCGTGTATATTGTTAAAAATCAACTGCTCAGTCTTCAACAGGAAGTGTATAATAATAATTTGTAGGGAATGTTTTGCTGTCCACATATTTCAATTTTATATTGTAGCTCTGCACAAACCGTTTTAATTGTGCAACCATCCGTAACAAAACGCTATATGTTCATATGTATATTATAATAAACATAATATAAAACAACTTCAAATGACAAACTACATGAATATTTTGATTAAAAACATGCCCATCAATGTTTATTTTCGTTCAAATAAAAAAGCCAGAAGTCTGAAATGTCTGAAGGTCACCATTAAGAGCACTGGGTAATGACAAAAAGTAGATTTTGCTTGGTAAAATAACTATTTACACTATAGGCTTGATTTTTTGTTGTTTTTTTTAAAATAATATTCAAAAGGATAGCACACCTTAAAAATTATGATATAAATAGCCATAGGTGATTTTATACACTGGATATTATATCTGTTATCACTATATTAATAAATTGATTGATTGGGTGTAGAAATAAGATATCCATATATCTATCTCATGTTATTGAATTAATTCAGTTTTAGATTAAATCGTTTGTATTTTTAAAGAAACCATTTCAGATTTCACAGTGTAACTGTTGATAAGAGTGAGTTTAAAGTAGCTAAGTCTCTAACTCAATATCATCCAAAGTCTTACACGTTGAAAATACGAATTATTTGTCAATTCAAATCAACATTGATGTTGTGATCTTACCAGGAAAAGGCAGGCTTCTGATATCCAATATTTAAGATAAAATAAACATTTTACCATTGGTACACGAATCGTGTACCATAGTGCGTTTTAGCGTCATTTGCAACAAGTGACCAGAAAGAACGAGATTCAACTGAAGAGCCTGCTTAATAGACTGGAATAACCAGACGCTAGAAATTGCTATAGGGTTGAGACACATGCTGTATTTCGCTGGACATAACTGATTTCAAATTAGAGTCAAAAAGGAAACAATTGAATGTAAATCAGTTTATATACAATCAGATTACATTATTATATGCGTTTCGACCCATTTGGGTCAATTTCTAGGTCCCAAATATTAACGATTTAGCTCCTTTAAGTATACAAATTACACACCAATATGTTAAGAAATGGTCGAAATAGAATGTCTGAAAGTTTTAAGTTCAATATATTATTATTAAGCCATTTGGAAGTGATCACTAGATTTGCATTAACAAGGCTTTTCAGCTCAATTTGTCGGAATTCCATTGTTCTACTGTATGAGTGGCTTGATAATTGTGACTGGATCTAAAGCAAGTATTTTGACAAGGCTATCCAAGCACTTGGGATAGCATTAATATTTGGGGACTTTTCGCCAATTACATACAGTAAAATAACTGATAGTTTGTTTTTTCTGCAAAAAAAGTACGACAGGTAAAGGACTAGAATAAAGGTTTCTTAGAGTCATCCACATGTTTGATTCACCAAAAGATGTGCTTAAGTATGTTAGTAAAATATAGACCAAAACAAGCCTTTTCTCCTTTTCTTTTTAATACATTTATTGTGTTGTTGATCAAGAAATAAAATAAAACCAAGTACGAACAATCCAAACCATTAGATAAAATTCGAAGTCCTAAAAAAACGGTATAGGCAAAATAGTGCAATAAGGCAAAATAGTGTAATTAGCATATGGACTGTTCACAAGTACTTCCTACTCAATAGAAGTACATATTCTCCTGAAGAAACAGCCCAGGGGTCTAAACTGTTGCATTATGACAAAGTCAGACAGAGTAGTAAATGTAGCAGATATACATTGTAAAATCTTGGCATTGTGAAGATATTGTTTCACATACTGGTACTATATTTTATTGGACATTAATTCAATTTATGGAATAGAAAAATCACATTCATAAATTGTTTGAATTGGATTTTGCAGGTGGATTTGTATTATGCAGTTAGCCCTGTTAATTGCAATCTGCAGGATATTGGGGTTTTTTTAATGAAAATCTCCTAACCATTTTGTAATAATGATGAAATGTCTATATTAAGACCAGTCTACATGTATTTAAGAGAGGAGTTATAGATGAAATATGGTGGTTGGTCATAAAAAGGTAGTAACTGTGATTCGAGATATATTTTAGTAGTATTTTATGATAGGTGTATATTATGCCTTGAATGGCTTTAGGCTAATAGTTTTAATAGCACTGTTAAAGTTGTCTTCTACTTTTACAGACCAGTACAGATGGCTAAGTTAAGATGTGTGTTAAATTATTTTGATAGAATAACTTCTAATGAAGAAGAGAGAAAAGGTGCTGTAACATATACTCGCAAGGTAAACTTTTCAACATTCAATTTCAAGGAATTAGTCTATATTGGATGAAGTCTTTATTTATATCAAAATTAACAGATATTTGTATTTTTTTTTCATGACAGGTAGCATTAAATGTGCTACATAGAACTATGGTTTAAGTCTTTAGATAATATTTAAAAACACTGTCAAGGAAATAAAATGATTAAAATTGTATTTGTCAGTGTATTGCAGGTATAATTATTAAATTTATTTCTGGCCATTTGACTGAAAATAGTTGTTTATTATTGATTATTTAATTATCTGGTTTATATATAGATGTTATAATTATATTTATTTAAATATAACTGTTGAGAAAAAATTGTCATTAAAAAGTTATTTGTGCACACTTCCTAATTGGTCAAATAAAATATGATAATACACATGGATAAATTTGGATATAAATTCAGGTTATAGAAAAGTCGAGATTACCAACGATGGAAGATTACCTATCAAGTGATCAGACACTTTGCCCTATAACGATACATCACAAGGGTTGTATAGAAGATATGGGTAGTTCTTCGATGGAGGTATTTATAAAATATTTCTCTCCGTATTTATATGAACATTTAAATCATTAAAGATAAAAAAGATATATTACTTTTAATAAAATTCGGTCATCTACTTGACCCATAAATCTATGGGGTTAGATTGCACGATAGACAGAGAATGAATTTAAACGACTATTTTAGCAGTTACTATTTGAGCATGTATTGTTTGTTGCACATTCCACGGTAACTATAGTGCCCATCCTCTTAATGACTGCTAGCTTCAAATTTGTTGAGTATATTAAAAAGAGCACAATTTGAAATAATGCAAAAGAGATGATGTTTTTGGCAATAAATATATTTTTCATTGTGGATTGAAAATATATAATGGACCATAAGATAATATATCTTTAAAACCAAAGTATTAAAAATGTAGTTCAGCTGTTTTGTTTCATTACCATAATAATATTTAAAAGTCTTGATCATTTAGACCTACATGTATTATCAATAGTGACATTAATTTGCCTGATATGTAGTAACAGTCAACAACAGGTATCATGCACAAGGATGGATATGTAAATTCCTCATTCTTTCTGGAACACATGATACTCAATTCTCACAATTTATAGTAGTGGTATTTATTTGTATTGTATTGAACCACAGGATATACCAGTACTTAACAACAGTCTTTGAATTGCTTGTTATCCCATGCCCAACGAAGTTAAGGAGGGATATTGAAATTGGGTCCGTCTGTCTGTGCATCTGTCAATTCCTGTCCTTCTGTGTATCCTGGTTTCGTTTCTGGAGCATATCTCATAAACCGTTTAAGATATCTTTCTGAAACTTTGTACACACACCAGCCTATTACAGTAGTTATGCCTTTTGCTATTTAGGAATTTCTGGGCATTATATTTTTTTGTTTCAATGGAAACAAATTTGACATAGTTTTTGGTGTATAATTTTGTTTCTGGAGCATATATCATAAACCGTTCAAGATATCTTTTTATACACCCACATTTTCATGTGGACGTATTATGCCGACGCCCCTGTCCGTCCGGACGTCCACAATTTGTTTGTGGACACTCTACAGGTCACAATTCTCATCCGATTTTAACGAAACTTGAAATATAGGTGTATCTCCAAAAGATCTCGGCTGCTTTCGATATTGGCATGTATCGGATCGAAACTTCATGGATTATGGCCCCTGTTTGAACGAAAAATCACGTTTTTGGCTTGTGGACCCTATAGAGGTCACGATTTTTATACGCCGTATTATGCCGTCGTCCCTGTCCGTCCGGACATCCGTCCGTCCGTCCGTCCGTCCGTCCACAATTGTTTGTGGACTCTCTACAGGTCACAATTCTTATCCGATTTCGACGAAACTTGAAATATAGGTTTATCCCCAAAAGATCTTGGCTGCTTTCGATATTGGAATGTATCGGATCGAAACTTCATGGATTATGGCCCCTGTTTGTACGAAAAATCACGTTTTTAGCTTGTGTACCCTATAGAGGTCACAATTTTTATCCGATTTTTGCCCCCCGCCTTTCGAAGAAAGCAGGGGACTATTAAAATGGGTTCGTCCGTCTGTCTGTCTGTCCGTCTGTCCGTCCGTCTGTCCGTCCGTCACACTTTTTGGGACACAATAACTCTCTTCCTAATTGAGCTAGAATGTTCAAACTTGGTGTATGTGTTTATTAGGTCAATGCCTTGATGGAGTTCGAAGATGAGCATTTTCCGCTTAGGGTAAGCAGAGATAAGCAATTTGATTGGTTGATGCTTTGGGACACGATAACTCTCTTCCTAATTGGGCTAGAATGTTCAAACTTGGTGTATGAGTTGATTAGGTCAATGCCTTGATGGAGTTCGAAGATGAGCATTTTCCGCTTAGGGTAAGCAGAGATAAGCAATTTGATTGGTTGATGCTTTGGGACACGATAACTTTTAATTGAGCTAGAATGTTCAAACTTGGTGTATGTGTTTATTAGGTCAATGCCTTGATGGAGTTCGAAGATGAGCATTTTCCGCTTAGGGTAAGCAGAGATAAGCAATTTGATTGGTTGATACTTTGGGGCACGATAACTCTCTTCCTAATTGAGCTAGAATGTTCAAACTTGGTGTATGTGTTGATTAGGTCAATGCCTTGATGGAGTTCGAAGATGAGCATTTTCCGCTTAGGGTAAGCAGAGATAAGCAATTTGATTGGTTGATGCTTTGGGACACGATAACTTTAGTTCTAATTAAGTGAGATTGATGAAACTTGGTGTATAGTTTCATTACAGTAATACCTTGACTAAGTTTGATAATGAGCATTTTCTGCTCAGGGTAAGCAGAGCGATACGCAATTTGATTGGTCGAGACTTTGGAACTCAATAACTCTCCTTCTAATTGAGGTAGAATGTTCAAACTTGGTGTAGCCGTTCATTAGGTGAATGCCTTGATAGAGTTCGATGATGAACATTGTTTGCTTATGGTAAACAGAGATAAGCAATCTGATTGGTTGATGCTTTGGGACATGATAACTTTAATTCTAATTAAGTGAGAGTGATGACTGCATGCTTTGGGACAAGATAATCGTGATTCTATCAGATAGAGAATGATGAAACTTAGTGTATAGTTTGATTGCTCGATACTTTTGAAAAAAATAAATGTGCGATTGATTAATATGTCATCTATTTATTTTGGGATTTCAGCGGGGGACATCAGCCTCACTGTTGGCTTGTTTTGAAACTTGAAATGTAAGTTTATAACCCAAAGATCTCAGTTCCTTTCGATATTTGCGCATATCGGACAGTAACTTCCTGAATTATGGCCCCTGATTGTACGAAAAATCACGTTTTTAGCTTTTGGACCCTATAGAAGTCATAATTTTTATCCGATTTAAAAAACCGTTCTATTATATCACCGTTACACCCTAAGAATGACTGAGTTCAAATTTCGTGAAAATCAAATTGACAGACAAAATGGCCGCCGTTCGTTCCCAAATAGCGTAAGAAATGGTATATCAAGGTTGTGGACCCTATAGGGGTCACAATTTTTATCCGATTTTGTTGAAACTTGAAATGTAAGTCTATAACCCAAAGATCTCGGTTCCTTAAAAAAACGTATTATTATATCACCGATATACCCTAAGGACGACTGAGTTTGAATTTCATGAAAATCTGCCCAAAATTGACAGACAAAATGGCCGCTGTTCATTCTCAAATAGCGTAAAAATATGGTATATCAAGGTTGTGGGCCCTATAGAGGTCACAATTTTTATCCCATTTTGTTGAAACTTGAAATATAAGTTTATATCCCAAAGATCTCAGTTCCTTTCAATATTTGCCCATATCGGACCGTAACTTCCTGAATTATGGCCCCTGATTGTACAAAAAATCATGTTTTTAGCTTGTGGACCCATTAGAGGTCATAATTTTTATCCGATTTAAAAAAACGTATTATTATATTACCGTTCCACCCTAAGGACAGTTGAGTTTGTATTTTGTGAAAATCGCCCGAAAATTGACAGACAAAATGGCCGCCGTTCGTTCTCAAATAGAGTAAAAATATGGTATATCAAGGTTGTGGACCCTATAGAGGTCACAATTTTTATCCGATTTTGTTGAAACTTGAAATGTAAGTTCATAACACAAAGATCTCAGTTCCTTTCGATATATGCGCATATCGAATTGTAATTTCCTGAATTATGGCCCTTGATTGTAGGAAAAATCACTTTCTTGTTAGCTTGTTCTCTATCCATCTCTCGAAAATGTGGGCGTATCCTGCCTGGCAGCCGCTGGTTATCCGATTTTGTTGAATCTTGAAATGTAAGTTTATAACCCAAAGATCTCGGTTTCTTTCGATATTCGGGCATATCGGACCGTAACTTCCTGAATTATGGCCCCTGATTGTACGACAAATAGCGTTTTTAGCTTGTGGACCCTATAGAGGTCATAATTTTTATCCGATTTAAAAAAACGTATTATTATATCACCGTTACACCATAAGGACGACTGAGTTTGAATTTCGTGAAAATCGGCCTAAAATTGACAGACAAAATGGCCGCCGTTCGTTCTCAAATAGCTTAAAAATATGGTATATCAAGGTTGTGGACCCTATAGAGGTCACAATTTTTATCCGATTTTGTTGAAACTTGAAATGTAAGTTTATAACACAAAGATCTCAGTTCCTTTTCGATATATTTGCGCATATCGAATTGTAATTTCCTGAATTATGGCCCTTGATTGTAGGAAAAATCACTTTCTTGTTAGCTTGTTCTCTATCCGTCTCTCGAAAATGTGGGCGTATCCTGCCTGGCAGCCGCTGGTTGAAACTAAATTTTGCTAATTTAGAATTTCTGGGATTTAATGATTTTAATTTTTCCATGGAAACAAATTTGACATAGTTTTTGGTGTTCAATTTTGTTTCCGGAGCATATCTCATAAACCATTCAAGATATGTTCATGAAACTTTTTACAAACATCAACCTATTAAACTAGTTGTGCTTATTGCTAATTTCTCGGATTTAATCATTTTTACGTTTCCATGGAAACAAATTTGACTTTATTTTTATGTACAATTTCTCATAACGCGTTCAGAATATTTTTTTGAAACTTTGAACACTCATTGTATTAGTACAGTAGTTGTGCCTTTTGCTTATTAGAAATTTGTCGTATTTAATCATTTTTGTGTCCTTCCGTCCAGATTTCATCTCCGGAGTATATTTCATTATATTTTATTTGCACAGTAGTTGTGCCTTTTGCTTATTAGAAATTTGTCGTATTTAATCATTTTTGTGTCCTTCCGTCCAGATTTCATCTCCGGAGTATATTTCATTATATTTCATTTGCACAGTCATCCTATTAGTACAGTTGTGCCTTTTGCTTATTAGAAATTTGTCGGATTTAATAATTTTTGTGTCTGGAGTATATTACATTATCCATCCGGGTGTCGGATGGCTGAATGGTTACTACATGCGCTTGATATCATGAGGTCTGTCAATGAGTCAACAGGCATGGTTTTGATTCCCCAGTTGTACAAGACAAGGAGTAGGGTCGCCTGTCCAACCTCGTGGGTTTTCTCCGGGTCCCCCCTCCGACTGATAAAGACCCCTACGCACAAGCAAATTATTGAAATAAAATTGAACCATATGTTAGTCCCAAAATGACCTAGTGTCGAGTGGACATTAAGCCCCAATTCTCTCTCTCTCTCTTTCTCTCTTTCTCTCTCTATCTCTCTCTCATTTTATTTTCTGATGTTTAACATACAGCAGCTGGTTGAGGTAGGCGACCTTGCGTTGCCAATCTACTGTGATCAGAGTATGAATCTTCTGACTAGTCCCATTGATATTCCAAGAAGTTGTTTTTCCTTATGTCTTCCAAACAAGTGCAAGGGTGCGTGATGGTGATGACTAGTCGTCTTGTTTTTATTGTGTTGTAGGTAGATTTTGCTAACAAATATATTGGAGGTGGTTCACTTGGTAAAGGTGCTGTACAGGTAAGTCCTATGTCTATATTTCAACAATAATGGCTAAACTGACTACATTTTCTTTTATTGGATCTGTCATTGAGTCAAGTGACGTGGTATTAATCCCAAGCTTGTACATAGGGTCTCATTCCCAATCTCATGGGGTTTCTCCAGTTCCTGCAGCTACCTCCCATTATTAAAGACCCTATTGGCAAGCCAAGTTGTTTGTACAATATATTAGTCATAAAATTAAACATCTCTCTGTCTCTCTCTCTCTCTCTCTCTCTCTCTGAAAAGTCAGTCCTCTGTAGCATCAATATTTTTAATGTACTGTACCTCTGCAAGATTCATAATAAGGTTGTTTCTGCCCATCCTATTCAGTTTATGCCTCCTTATAGGTGGTTCTTCATGGGATCACGTGGCTAAGTGGGTAAGACGCTAGCTCGCTAGCCTGGAGGTCGGGTGTTCGATCCCTGCATTGGCCGAGAAAGTTCATCCAGATTTTCCGGCGTGGTTCTCCCTTGTCATTGATGCAGGACGGAGGGGCTGACAAGGAAAGCTGTCTAGTCGTTCGGATGGGACGAAAAACCGAGGTCCCGTGTACACATTGGCGTGCACGTAAAAGATCCCTTGGCAGTTGGAATTCGATATAAGAGTAGGCCGTAGTGCCGCTGTCCGGGCAAAATTTCCCTCATAGCACACTGTATGGCGTATGCCGGTCTTCATTAGCCCAGGTTAGGAGCAGAACAGTAGGACGTTAAACCCCATTTCATTTCATTTCATTTCAGGTGGTTCTTCACTGCTCTAGATATTTTAAGTTTGAACTCAATACTATATACTATTTAGTGTGTTTTCCGGTATTTAGTGTGTTTTCCGGTATTCAGTATAACATGGTGTTTTCCGGTAGTTTTCCGGTGTTTGCCGGTATATAGTATAGCCCGTCTGAACTCCACTACCATGGTGTATAGTAAATTAGGATGATTATTTTTTTATTTCAGGAAGAAATACGTTTTATGGCGTGTCCGGAGTTAATAGCATCACAGTTATTTATGGAGTGTATGGATGATAATGAGGCTATTATTATATCAGGCTATAAACAATACTCTAAACATTCAGGCTATGCACAATCATTTTCATATGATGGCAACTACAATCAACCGGTAAATATATAAATACTGGTCGTCTGTATGATGAGTTGATTATCAGTTTCGAAATAAACCAATATACACTATCGACCAAACATCAGCTGATTACTGGTCTTTTTTACCATTACATGTATATCCTACCGGTACTTTCTGTTGTTTATCGCTGTAAAGTTTTTAAACTCTGTTAAATTTAGCGGTATTTGACTACCTTTCATATTATGTACAAAGAACTATTTCTATGACAAGATACCTGTATGAAAACAATATTATGCAGTTGGGGGGGGGGGGGTCACAGATCTACTAGCTCAATAAACTGCAGTTCTGTATAAAAATGTAGTTCAGGGTAGTAATATTTTACAAATTTTCTAAGCAGAAATCAGTATTTGCACATTTGACACCAGTTATTATACATTAATTGTAAATTATTTTAGTTCTTGTCACTGTAAGCTATATTAGCTGTGATTGAGATGGTGTTACTGTAAGCTATTTTAGCTGTCATTTGTGATAGTGTCACCGTATGCTATTTTTAGCTGTAATTTGAGATGGTGTCACTAAAAGCTATTTAGCTGTATTTTGAGATTTTGTTACTGTATGCTATTTTAGCTGTTTTAGCTATAATTGAGTTAGTACCATTGCAAACTAACTAAGCTTATTCTATTTGACAGGTGGAGGGAGAGAATACTATGTGTTGTATTGATGCCACAACATTTCGCAATAAAGTCAGACGAATACAGTTTACAGAACGTTACATATTACGAGAATTAAACAAAGCTTTACTTGGATTTACTGGACAATCTAGTATATATCAGCAAGAATGTGCAGAGAAGTTAAATTTAAAAGATGGAATTTCCAGTGATGAAGAATTTTTAACAGCTTTTGAAACATCAGATGAAGGTTTTTATCGTTGTTTCAATTTCTAGTTCAGTATTCATGTTGTTTTGTAATTACCCAAAGCAGAAAACAATATAAAATCAAAAAGTAAAACAAACGGTAACATAAGTAACAAAAAAAAAACAACACAACAAAATGATCACCAAATAGCACATGATCTCTAAAAATTATTCAATTTAAAAGTTTTAATACAGTCACTTCCGACATCTGAATGCTATGGCATTCTGTGAAATCCCTTATCATTTTCATGTCCTGATTTATTTTCTTATTACTTCAACCAGAAAAGTTTTGAGTCGTCCGGATTCTGAATATTCCAAATTACGACATCAATCAGCAGTCGTGTCACATGATTGTTTAAAGTGACCTTCAATCATTGAGTGTTACCAACAAGCAATCATCAACCAATTGTCTGTGAGCATAAAACACATGTCAGTCTTTGTTGATTACCTTGATAATTTTATAATCTCTCATAAGAGAGCACTTGGTATTTTATTTGAGTTTCTCACGTCAAATACAGCAACATTATAATAAATTGCCGAGATGAAGAATCACTATCATTATAATATTATGTTCATAATGTGTAATCGTACAGAATGTACAGAATGCATCATCATATTTTAAGTTTTAACGGAAGTATTATCATAATATTAAAATATTATGATAATACTTCAGGTATTCGAAGGTAAAATAAAACTTATTGTATAATACTTCTAGTATTGTGGCAATTGAGTATTCCAACTTTCTGTGTAATCCGGCATATTGTATCAATCCTGTATGATGTCGGAATTGACAGAGTACACTGTAGATGGTGTAGACAACTTGTCTGCTGCAGATGGTCGTATAACGGTGGTCTGATGTTCGGTTATTAATTCCCCTGGAGGTGTTCTAGATGTCTGTTATGTTCTGCATATAATACTCTTGATTATCAAGTCAGTGTCAATCATTCGGAGAACAGTCAGTTAAGCACAACTAATTGCAAACATGGGCACATGACCTGTTTTGCACCAAAAAATGCCCGGTTGTGATGTCCGCTTGAAGTTTATGTTTTTAGTCTCTTTTTTTTATTGCACTTTCCCACGAAAGTATTTATTGGGTGGTTATTTCCAAATTTAAATATGTCAAGTTTGGTATGTACATGTATGGAAAGTAGAGACAACCAATCTTACAAGTAAAATACTGGATTCCTTGCAAAATACATATGGACCACGCACAGGATACTGAGAGGGTGTCGCAAATTGGCAGCCTGAAGATTAAGGGCAGTCAGCTCGACTGACGTCAATGGTTGCACACGTAAATTGTCTGAGCTCTTGGCGTTAGGGAGCATTCAATGTGAGCAGGCATGGAAAAAGTGAGAGACTTAAACGTAAAACAGTTTCCGAAACAAAAACCACCGAAAAGAACATGGGCAGGGGATAACCTGAGAAATTACTTAGGCTTCGATATTTCTGATAAATGGACAGCGATTAAAGACAACATTGTTTTTTATATGCAATGAATTCTCCTCAAGCTTTGCACCCGTTGCTAGGTACTGTGGCAGCCAAGTCACATGATACAAACATTACTTCTTTTAATACATTTTTTATAGCTTGTTTATCAGTGACGATAAATGGGGGGAATTAAGTTAAGGCTTGTTTTTGAATATTGTGGTATGTGTATCTATATTTGGAGATACATGTAATCTTTTTGGTGGGGCAACCTATTACAGGAATAAGGACTAAGCTGTGGAGCATCCTATATATCTTCTCACTATATACAATTTTATAATTCTAGATTCAAGTCCTAGATACATCTCAGAGTATGCCAGTAAAATGTTAAATGGTTTGTTATCACAAGCTACAAGAGAAGCTGTAGAAAAAAGTAAATCACAAAAGAAAGCTAAACATGTAAAACGTGAAGACTTGATGATGGCAGCTGGAAACCTTACATCTAAGCCAGATGTTAGGATTTCTGAAACTACAGGTCATATTATAGTTGGCGCCACAGACCAAGTAAACATTCAAAACAATTACGTGGCAGCTAATGTGTTTGATGGATTGGATGTTGATTATGGGGATTGGCTGAATAACTTCAGACGGAGAAGTTCCAATTTAAGCGATATCACGTCGCGTAGAAGTAGTACGAGTACCAAACATAGTTCAGAATTAAGTAGCGATTTAGATGATTTATATGAATCTTATATCAGGTCGGAAAAATCTAAACATGGTACTATTCAAGAAGAGTCATATGAGACTATAAGTGATTTCGCAGCCAAATTAATTTCATGTTTGATGCAAGAGGGAACAAGCAAAGCAGCTTCTATGTTACCATGTGTACAAGATTTTGACGAATGTCCACCATTATCTGCAATCAAGCCTAAACCTTTTAGAGACACAGTGCAGAATGGTGATAACTCTTTGAAACAAATGGCAGAAACTGTTGCTGATAAGACATTTAAATCTGTTGTTACGTTTGCCATGCTAGAAGCTGTTTCGATTATAGCTTCTAAAAATAGTCAACGCGACAATACTTCCAATAATAATTCACATTCCTCCACAAAGACTGATGCTATCCCTGACACTGTGTATGAATGGTTTGCTGATCATATTGTCAGTGATGCTTTTGTACAAGCTAGTGAAGAATATTCGCATACAGACATTATGGTTGATAATGTTATCAATCATACACATTTAGACCAAAATGTTAGTCACGAATCTGGAAGTTCGGGTGAGTCCAGCGCCCCACGTCTTTCTTTTAGCTCTGTTCCTGATGATAATGACCACAACGCATCGCTTTTGTCAGGGTATGATTCCTCCAACTCTTCTCTGGCTTCGGAGAAAAAGCCATGTGCGCTTACGAAAAAGCGACCCTCTGTGAAATCTGAGAGAGATCGTATTTTTTCTTGTAAATCAAGTATTAGTGAAGGAATGGCATCGATGTCTGACATAAATTTTGTTGAAAATATTGGTATTAACCACGGACACAGTGCCGTAAATATTGATACTGATAAAAATTTAAACGATGCTGCTGCTCATATTGTCCGACAGGTCATTATGGGAATACCTGAAAGACTAGAAGAAGAGTCGGCGGCTATGCTTTATCATACATCTACAGATCATTCGGTAAAATTTGAAGAATCTACTGTAGAATTTGATAAAAACAGATCAAAAGATCAGACACACACAGTCACTTTTGCAGACGATAAATCAGGTCCTCTTCCATGGTCAAATTTCAGTAAACGTGAAGAAAAGAATAGGAAATATGATACATCGAATGTAGGAATATTAACTAAAAAACTCAGTCGTGAAACTCTAACAAATGCTTATTTAAAAGCTGAAAATAGACGACAAACTAAAAGTTACGAGCGTCGTAGTAGTGAACCTTGTCATATCAGTGTTGAACGATCGTTACAAGCATTAGACAATGAAAAAGCTGCGTGTGATATGGATAAAAGAAATCGCAAAATATCGCGGACAGATGAGGACTTTGATAGATTCAAAGCCGATTCTCAAAGAAGGGGATCATGGGATATCATGCCCTCAGGCAGACGAAGAAGTTCTTGTGGTTTTAAAGATCCAGTATTATCTAGATTTGCCGAGGAGTTAATGAAAGCAGACACATCTATTCCACCACTTCAAATTGCTCAGAGACCTAATTCTAGTACATCCGGTTCTAGAAGGAGTAGTGTTAGTGCTTTTAAAGATGTGACTTTAGCATTTTTTGAAATGGAACTTTTAGGTAGTAGTTTTGAAGCTCCCTCTAGTCCTAGACATAATTCCACCAGGAAGTGCAGTCGGGATTCCAAACTTGTTAAATCTGACAGTTCGGAGGCTGATTATGCTTGGTTTCCATTACCAAGACGAGTCGGCGTCGAATTTCAGGAAAATTATGAACGACTACACAATTATCATAGTGTCGATGAGATTGAAGACTTTGCTGATATGATTGCACAAAACGTCCTTCAGGAAGCTGTTGATATCTTGAATCGTGAACAGGAACTGAATGAAGACGACCATTTTTACAACCATGTGGAGTATTATGCAGATCAGCTTAGTCAACATGTGCTAGACATGGCGTTTTCTGTTATTAAAAAACACAAAAACGACTTGCACTTATTGAGTAATTCCAATAGAAAAAATGTTTTATTAGTCGATGCCCAAAATGATTCCATTGATGACTTTCATGATGCATTAGATATTGAAATAAAAGTATTAGAGAAGTATGCTGATAATATGGTGGCTGCATGGATTAAGGATGTGATGACAAAACTATACAGGCCAAAACATAGATTAGATGTAAGTTCAAAATTAAAATGAAAATATCTATCGGCTTAGTCGCATAAAGTTTTTGGACATAGTAAAGCTCAAATCAATCATGCCATTTGTGTTTAAGTTGATTTAGGTTTCTTTTTTTTTTCTTCTTTTTAAAATTTTAAATAGTAATATTTGGAATGGTTTAGATAAAAAACAAAATAATTAAAGAAAAATAGACTTTCTTCTGTAGAAACCATGATATCAGGCAGGATTGTTGTTCATGTGTCTGGCATAAATAAGCGTATTAGAAAAAGATTACTATACTTTAGTCTCAATATGACTCATGTAAAGTGTTGAGAGGATGTTATTCTCTATTAACCCATTAGCACATGTAAATATAGTTTCTTAACAAAAATTTAAAGAAAAGTGATATATTTCATGTACATGTACAATGTATGTCCCTTAACAACTGTTCCGTAAACAGCCTCAAACTGAATGAAGTTATGAGAATAGCCCTCAGTATTATACTAGTTCTTGGGAACATCATATAGCTAAATGTACATGTATTCACACGTGACTTGGGTGGTTAGGACTGTCTAAGGAGCACTAGTAACGCCTACTTTTCATAGTAAAGTTTGGTGTTCCATACAGAAAATAATTTTAATTATTTGATTTTCTTAATATTATTGTAGCTTCATATACATTTACTTTATAGGAATTTATATGCAAGGATAAACCTATTTCTTCTGGTAATTGGGGTTGTGGCGCATTTTGTGGTGATCCCCATATTAAAAGTTTATTACAGTGGATGGCTGCTTCTATTGTACAAACACCTGTATTACATTATTTTATATTTGATGATCCTAGACTAGTCAGGGTAAGAATTAACCTTTATTAATACTTTTCACAAATCATCCAAGATTTTGCGATTAGAAAATCCAGAATAAAGCTTATTTTAAATTCAGCATACATGTAAATTTTGTTTCATTTCATAAGATGAAATTTATTTTCCTGTTTAGTATTATTTTGAAATACATGTATGTTTAAAACTTTGGACGTTGCTGTTAAAGGAGCATGCTATAACAACATCCCACAATAATGTTCTTGCTTCATCTGTACAGAAGACAATTGTGTGTTTTACCATGACAAGTCATTCGGGACTATTCTGGCTACTAAATTAGTAGTACTCAAATGGCTTGACCAAAGGCTGTCAACTAAGCTACATGTATCCTAACCAATTATACAACCCAATACTGTTTCGGCACTACTGTGAACCATTAGTTTTTAATTTTTCATACTGGGTCATTTCTGAAATGCAGTTTGTTTCAGTTACAATCTGATTAAAACACAGATCCCGTTTTGTTTCGTTTTTTATAGTTCAGAAATTCGTTTTACTTGCCTTTACTACACTAGGATCTGGAAGAGTTGTTATATGGTTGTTGTGGCAATTTCTTGGCCTGCAGTGTACAGAACTGTGGGTATACATTCACAGCGAAGACAAAGCAAAAATATTTCCAAATACCCACTTGAAACATTAACACTGATTAGTTAATCAAATTTCTGACATCATAGTGTCAAAAGCTGGTCGTATGACCCCTGACACAACCTCCCACTACAACTGATCAGATCTTCATGTAGTGGAGGCCATCGAAAGTATAAAAAAAGAAACGAAATGAAATATACATCTGTATTTTAATCAGATTGATTCAGGTAAAACTTTCGAAGACTAACAATGCAAACTTAAATTAACAGTTTTAATCCCAAAATAATAATTGATAGTATAATGTGTTTCAGCTTGAAGAGGTAGTAAAGTTTATAGAAGATAAGAAATGGAAAGTAGGTGATATAATGAAAGCTATAAAACAGTATTGTGATTTAATCTTTCTAGAAGATGGTGGTTATAATGATGATGACTTTACCATCAGTTTTACTTTATTTGATTTTATCTTGACTTTGTAAAGAAACTTTTATCTGGTATTAAATCAAATAGGTATTACACTTGGTAAGAATGGGGCATTTATTGTTACACCAGAAACTGGATCCCAAGAGCTACTTATCTTGTTGTTCTTCTTCTTGGGGGCAACACTCTTTGAAAAAGGCCTAAGGCTCAGGCAAATCACGTACTATCGACATGAAACTTGGCATGTTTGTTCCTTGTATAATTGCGCATCGATTGACGGACTTCAGTTTTTGATATGACATCATGCTCGGTTCCTGGTCCATAGTATGTTTGTACTTGTAGAACTACATTATTATCATGAATATAAATTACTCCCACCTGAATTCTGGTCCCCAACAAATACATAAACATAAGCGACATCCTGTCATCATGAACCAAAGTTTAGAATTTAAAGCTCAATATCGACTTGCAAAGACAATCTTTGAAAGTAAACCCACTTCTGAACAAAGACTAGGTACATGGCCAATAAAAACAGTACCCAAACCTGACAATATTTGAACTTGACTCGGATTGATTTTCTTACTGATTTTAATTTTCTTATTTCAAAAAAGTCATCAGAAATGTTTAAATATACATATTTTTTATGATGAGTTTGAGCAGATTGTGTAGCCCCATCCTAACCAAGTGGACTGAATGGAAGGTGAAGCTGTATTAATATTATCCCAACCTAGATCTGTTATTTCATTCTTTAGTGGCAAAAATGTCTGGCACAGTGAAATGCATACAACCATACAAATACAAATCTTGTTGACAGTGATGTGCAGAGAGAAGGCCATAGGGGACAGTGGCTCTGTGCATCCATTTCAAAAGGGCATCCAATTAAAGAATGAAATTAAAATTCAGTGTTGTTTTAATTTGAAATTATGGCTGTTAGCTTTGTTGTACAAGCTGCTCTACCTAATTTGAATAACAAGTTAATTTCATCTGTTTTAAATATTTCAAATGTCCTCCTCTTTCACGTTTATGAGTACCAGGTCTTTTACTATTCTTCTCTTGTAATCTGGGAAAACCTAGTTGAGTTAGATCCACATCAGGTTCTTCTCCTTCAGTTAAGAATGTTAAAGTGTGTAAAACTCTTCCTAGTTGGCAGTTTTTCATCTGGAAGAACCTAGTACGTCAAGTCAGAGTAGGACGTTGAACCCCATTTTATTTCGTTTCATTTCCTAATATGTCATGTAAGTATACTGATGTAATGTATACTGTCTTACTAGGTTTTTCCAGATAACAGGAGTGAAGTCTTGGGGACATTCACATAGAATCAAGGAGTTGGCTCTGGGCATCGACAAAACTGTGCATGTCACTGCTTGTCTTTGATTAATTGATTTTTATACACCCACATTGAAATGTGGTTGTATATTGTCGTACAGTGTTTAAAGTCACAAGACGAAGAAGCCTATTGATTTTCAACAATTTCTGATAATTACTGCCAGAGTTATGTCCCTTAATGACTTTGAACAATCTTGTGAACGCTCTAGAGGCTAAAGTTAATATCCGATTGACTTTAAATTTATACACAGTGTTTTACAGAGGAGAATCCTATTGTGGATGTGCTAGAGGATAAAGTTAATATAAATTTATGCACGGTGTTTACGGTCATGAGACAAACAATCAAAACAAATTCTAATGATTTCTGATAATTACATAATGGGTTGTTACTTGTAATCAGATTTTAGTGTGTTGTAAATGGTTTCATTACTGATAAAAGAAAAAATATGCAACAACCATTGTTGACAGTCCGGACAGCTTAGCTGCTGTGGGAGTATGTTTCATTGCCTGGCAACCTATCTTTATTTGTAATATGGAGCAGTTTGGGAGCAGTAAAAATCTTTGAAGTAAACTGTACTAGGTTATAAAGGAAAGAAGTTTTGAGTCAAGTTATATATTATAGGTTTATTTTATTGTAGTGATTCTATTTATTCTGTGATTTGTAGAAAATAGTGGTTGTGATATTATTTTATATCCTTATTTGTACCAAAGACAAGTCCAGTCATAATTTAAGATCATCTCGCTAGAGTAGAAATTAGATTTTAAACAACTAGTCGAAATTTATGTAATTAAAATATTTTTGGGAAAGCCCAGAGGATTTTAGAGTAGTAATTTTCATTTTATATCTTCCTTGACATTCATTCTAGTTTATAAAATGCCTTTATATTGCAGTCATTTCTCCAACTTTAGCTAAAATCATATTTTTAATGATTACCTGGTAGGCATTTGTCAAACACTAATTATTTATATTTTTGAATTAAAAAATATTTGACAGACATAGACTGAATTTCAGTCAGGACATACTTATTATCAATTTGGAGCCCTTTCTGAGATTCAAAGAGCTGGGTTAAAAGAAGGTGATTAGACTTTACCTGTAGCCAAGACCTAGAGACCAGCATAGTAATTGTGACATGTTTTAAGCATCTAGGTAGTGGTGTTGATAATGTGCATTACAACTTTTTCACATTATTATATTTCTGTGAAATACGGCTTTATCTAAAGTTAGAGTTGAGTATGGCCCATATTTGCTGCCATAAAAAAAAGTCTTAACTTTTTAGTGTCTATGACACATACTTTCATATGATGTTTGAGATTATTTGTTGAATTACTGTGATGTAAGTCTCTTATAGAGTTCAAATTTGGATTAAATCCCAAGAAAATGAGAATATTATTTTAGTTTGAAGGAGATTGGTTTGTAATGTATGAATGTGTACCGGTATATGAATTATATACATGTATGTAAATGTGTGCACATTAATCGTTTTTCTTTATAAATATACACAGTATTTACTCAGTTAAAAATTAATTATAGTACATATGTATCAAGAATTTGAATATATATTCCTGGGAAAAAATCATTTATTTTCTGAAGATTGTCATTATTCATATTCTTAATGTCTCTGGGAGTCATTTGTGTTTTTTGGAAACGAACAATAAAATTTCTCACGACTTAATCCATGCTAAATTGTACTCAAATTGATTATTTAAATTTTAATAAAAAAAAAAACCAATATCAAATATGATCAGTAGGTAATCTCTCGGATTGGATTCAATTTGAAAGAAGCCCATCCAATTCTCAGCAAAAATCATAGGTGGCACTGACTTGTGTTGACTATATCTATATAGCCTGCAGTGGATGCTGGATGATAAATTTATCTTTGTAACTACTTAACGGAACTGAACCATTTTTGGACTGATATTTCTTTTGGAGATTCAACTTTCACATGGAATACAAAATCCCCACAGATGATGATCAGAGGCTTTAATATATTGTTATAGTCTTTTATTTTTACTTTTTGATTTAGAAATAAAATGTTGGCAGGACCTCAAAACATGAGGATGGATTTTTTTTTTATATAAGCTATTTTTTTTATTTCATTTGAGATCGGATCGAGGGAACAGGCTAGGCCTATGTTGACCTCCCTCCAGAAGATTGTAAATAATGACATTAAAAACAATGAATCTAACAATCCTTCTTTATGCATAGATTTTTGTGAGCTGTGAGTTTTAAACAGGAAATTTCATTAAGATAGAGTTGATTAAGATGTAAGGTTTCATCCCTTTTAATAAGTACGTTATATCATTTTATTTTGTTATGTTTATATTTTGATATATATTATATGAAATAATTAGTATTAATGAGGGAAAGGGTTATGTTGTGATGCAGTGCTATGTTCAAATGTCTAATTAGTGAATTTTGGTTTAAACACATTATTAATATAATTGATGAAGAATTTGTTTTATGTTTAATTTGATAATTTGTAAAATAACCATGGATTATAAATATTGCTCTTTTGTTTGAATAACCAGATAAGGTCCAAGAACCTGGTGACTAGTAGCAGGGTTGGGGTAATGAAATGGTTATGTAATGAGTTGTGGAAGATTTGTTAAGTAATTGAAACGTAATTACGTTCCAAAACCACCAGTTGCCCGGCAAGATACGCCCACATTTTGAAAGAGATGGATAGAGATCAAGCTAAAAAAGGGGGCATTTTTCGTACAATCAGACGCCATAATCAAGGATGTTATGGTCTGAAATGTGCGCATATTGAAAAGGACTGAGATGTTTGTGATAAAAAGATATATTTTAAGTTTCATCAAAATTGGATAAAAATTGTGACTTCTAGAGGATCCACAACCTTGGTATTACATACTTTTACACTATTTGTGTGCAAGGAGCAGCCATTCCACGAAATCCGAACTCAGTCGTCATTAGGGTGTAATGCGATTTTTCAAAATTGTGGCCTCTATAGGGTTCACAATCTTTATATACCATATATTTACACTATTTCTGGACGACGGGCAGCCATTTTGTCCGACAGTTTTGGTCCGATTTTTGCAAAATTCAAACTCAACCATCATTAGGGTGTAACGGTGATATATTTAAAAGTTTTTTTTAAATCAGATAAAAATTGTGACCTCTAAGAGGGACCACAAGCTAAAAATGCGATTTTTGTACAATCAAGGGCCATTATTCAGGAAGTTACAATTCGATATGTGCGAATATCGAAAGGAACCAAGATCTTTGGGTTATAAACATGCATTTCAAGTTTCATCAAAATCAGATGAAAACTGTGACCTCTTAGAGTGTCCACAAGCTAAAATTGTACAATCAGGAGCCATAATCCAAGTTATGGTCTGATACATGCCAGTATCGAAAGGAACCAAGATCTTTGGGAGATAGCCCTATATTTCAAATTCCGTCAAAATCGGATAAAAATTGTGACCTGTAGAGTGTCCACAAACAAATTATGAACGGACATCGACCGGCATAATACCTCCGCATGAAAATGTTGGTGTACAAAAACATGTAATGGTTAATTACATTTCAGTTACAATATCAGTATTTCCAACAATATGAGGCTCAAATTTTAAAATTAAAGAGGTGAATAGTACTGGTAGTCACAGCTACACAGACCTTATTTGATTTTTAGAATGAAAGAGTAATATTTATTGGATGGGCTATATGTATTTATCATATTTGTCTTAATATTTATTTACCTCGATTTGTGTATAGATGGAATTATATGGTTGCCTTTACAGTACTGAAAGAATTATAGATTACATATACAGAAGATAAACATTTACCTGTTGGTCAGTTTTCATCTTATAAAATACTGTCACCATAAATGACATGAAAGACTCCTATGTAAGAAACTCTTTAAAAATCCTTGATCAGTTGAAATAATGGTAAGAATTGTGGCTTGAATATAAAAATGCCAGGCTGATCTAATAAAATCATGGTAGTTTAGATTTCTAACCGTGACACTCAATTCTAAATTGTACTCTTTTTTTATTGTGTTTTAAAGTTTAATTCATTAAAATACCATGTTTATGGTATGTAGATTGAATAACTGGTAAATTCCCCAGCTGGTCATTTTCTCTGTGTATTAATGAAGACTGACAAGCCTTTTTGAAGTTAATTATGGTTTTAAAAAAGTTCCATTAATATGATTTTACTAGGCTTGAATGAGTGTAAATCTAATTATGAATATTGTAATAATATATGATTGCCATATAAATACTACTTGGTATTATGTATAAATTATGCAAATAATAAAACATTTTTATTTATTAAAATATCAGAAATTTATATGTTTTTTTTTTATTTGTTTAAATGATTTCATCTAGATTCTGTAGCAAGGGAATGTTTGTGGGAAGGACGATTAACATCCACTTAACACGAAGAGTGTAAGGCCATCATATAGACAGGTTACCTTTGTCCTTGTCACACACTGAAATAGAAATGAAATGGAGTTTAACGTCCTACTGTGCTGCTCCGAACTGGGCTAATGAAGACGTGAAATTTTTGCCCGGACAGCGGCACTACGGCCTACTCTTATATAGAATTCCAACTGTCAAGGGATCTTTTACTTACACGCCAATGTGTACACGGGACCTCGGTTTTTCGTCCCCTCCAAACGACTAGACTGCTGTCCTTGTCTGGCTCTCCGTCCTGCATCACTGGACAAGGGGGAATCACACCGGAAAATATGGATGAACTTTCTCGGCCAATGCAGGGATCAAACACCCGACCTCCAGGCTAGCGAGCCAGCGTCTTACCCACTTAGCTACCGTGATTCCCACACTGAAATAGAGTTTAGCTGCATACTTTTCTGAACCAACCAGTCGGATGAAGATGGGCAGAAGCCATGCACTGTTCTACAGGGGAAATTTTACCCAAACAGCAGTGTTCATTTTACGTGCACACCAACAACCACACAGGTGTACCTTGGGTTTCCAATCCATCCCTTTACTTGCCAGGCCTATTGTCTTGCACGACTGACCAGGGGAATCCAGGTAGGAAAATCTACAGGAACTTTCTGTCAACACTGGGGACTTCCTGGTAAGTAAGTTTGATTTGAACCATCCCTAGTTTTAGGGGAAACAAAAGAACTGAGAGAATAATCTTTAAGTCTAGCCACACAATGTTATCATTATTTGTACTGCTATGCATTTGTTCAGCAAAGAGTCACTGGCAACGCTTGCTTTCATGCACTTGGCTGGATATGAGTAGACACAACTAATGAATATCTGTGTTCTAGTTAATTTGCCGCACCAAATAATGGAAGTAGTTAAATAACAAATACAATAGTTATTTTACACTGAAAATATTATTATAACAATAACCAATAATAAACAGTTTTTATAAATACATGTTCAGTATCAAATCTAAAATTCTTTATTTCTCCTTTGATTTAATGACGCAGTATTGTATTGGGCTTCCACTTCAAAATTTTGAACATTGTTTTTATCTATGGTAGGGTATAATGAATTTATTTTAACTCTTCAACAAGCTCTTATTAAAGAACTGAAATGGCCATAGAAATAGCATACCGCATGCTCTGAAACTTCTGTGTTTAATAACAAAATAGAGTCAAGTAAATGCAAGCTGTTTGAAATATTTCTAATTAATGAAATTTACTGAGTAAATACTTGGTTTATCACCATGATCTTTATCCAGCATTATTAGATTTCATACATGTTCAATTAATAATAAATTATCTACCTATTAACAATAACTTATCTACCAATTATTAATAACTTCTCTTCTAATAAATTAATAATTTATCTACCAATTATTAACTATCTACCAATTATTAATAACCTATTTACAAATTATTAATAACTTATCTACCAATTATTAATAACTTATCTACCAATTATTAATAACTTATCTACCAATTATTAATAACTTAGGACCTAGTTATAACATATCTACTACTAATTATTAAGAACTTATCTACCAATTTACATACATTTTACTCCAAAACTGCACAGTAATTTATTTGATATTTATTGCAACAGATAATCTCATTATATATCCATATCTTACTATGGCTTACAGTTTACAGGTAGTTTTATCACAAATTCATCCAAAATACAGGTATTGTATATTGAGTCTTTGGCACATAATTGCATTCTTAAGAACTACAAGGAAAATGTAGGATATGTTTAGAAGATATAGTCGTATGAGCCTATACTAGATGTCTGGAACAGTATCAGTAGTATAAAACATGTCAAGACCACTATTGCTATTAAATATGATGGTTGAATAGGTATATGAAACAACTTGGCCTGAAATTAAACAAAAAGACAAAATTTGCTCAGAATATTTCTAGAAATTGAAAGCATTTACCATATAATATTATTATTATTATTATTATTATAATATTGTCTTTTTGAAACAGCAAGGCAAACATTTAAAGGTGGTCCTGACTCTTTCAAGGCTGTATTAATGGTGAGCTACACGTGGCTCAGAGAGTATCCAAGAGCTCATGGGTTCATTCTTGGTGTTTGCTGAGAAAGTTCTACATGTTTTTCCAGCCTGGTACCCACTTGTCAGTGGTTCAGGATGGAGGCTGTAGTGCTACTGTCAGGGAAAAATTGCCCACATGCCCATCTTCATCAGCATACTTGGCTGATGAAGATGTTAAGCGGCATTTCATTTCGCTTTATTACTAAGGGTCAATAGCGATTGATTTTTCTTACAACTTCATGAAAACACAGCAACTGAGAAGTAGCAATGCATGGCATCTAATAAAAACCTTTAGGTTTGCCAAATCTTGATAAATGTATTAAATTATTACCTTTAATTGAATATGTCCTACATAAGTTAGAAAGGAATCTAACTCTATTTGTGAGCTATTTTTATAACCAAACACTCTCATTTCTAAAGCTATTTTCCTAAATCTTCTACATATAGAATTAACACGACCTGCCTAAAATATAGATATTTATACACAATTTTAGTTATTTCATGGATATTTATACTTCCAGTCTAGTAATTACACCATTTTAATAGCATATTGAAACCCCTTGATTATATTTTAAAATTGCACTTTTTCTTTGATCTGGGTCAAAAATAAAATTGCGATATAATTTTGATTTGTTTTCTGGAATGACAATCTGTCTTTGTTCAAATTTGATAGATTTAAAGCCTATGTTGAGGTATAGTCTTATTTTATATCTGAAAATCCTGGACCAAATGAGGATTGAAAATGATAGCTGAATATCAGGGCAGATATTTATATTATATTATTAGATTAATATTACCTGGAAAAGTGGAAAACATAACATTAAAGCCCAAACTACTGGAAAGATTCCTCTATAAGACCATACTCGAACGTTATTATATTTATTTAACACCAATATACTGATACCTTCAAATAAATATACATCTTATAAAATAATCTGTAAAGTAATTCAGACAAACCAATAGTGAGGTTGATGACACATATTAATTAAATGCACATTGATCTTTTTCTAAAGTATTGTGCAATCAAACTGATTATCAACTATACACAAGGTTTCATCACTCTCTATCAGATAGAATCAAAGAAACTGCTTAGCTCTGCTTAGCTTTAGCGGGGAAATGTTAATCATTGAACTCAATCAAGACATTCAGCTAATGAACATCTAAACATTAGTAAACATTCTATCTCAATTAAAAGCAGAGTTGTTATGTTCCAAAGTAATTCTCATCACCAAACTTAGTCAAGATAATGATAATGAATCTATACTCAAGAGTTTCATCGCTCAAAAGCTTTAATCTATCGAATTAAGCAGATAATTCATCATCAAACTTCATCAATGCATTCACCTAATGAACACCTACACCATGTTTGAACATTCTACCTAAATTGGAAGGAGAGTTATTGTGTTCCAAAGTCTCGACCAATCAAATTGCTTATCGCTCTGCTTACCCTCAACAGAAAATGTTCATTGTCGAACTTAGTCAAGGTATTGATGTGATGAAACTATACACCAAGTTTGATCACTCTCACTTAATTAAAACTAAAGTTATCGTGTCCCAAAGCATCAACCAAGCAAACTGCTTATCCCTGCTTATCATGGCAGAAAATTTTCATCTCCATCAAGGCATTGACCATTGACATACATGGACTAAACACCTACACAAAGTTTGAACATTCTAGCTCAATTAGAAGGAGAGTTATTGTGTCCCAATAAGTGGGACGGACGGACAAACAGATAGACCCATTTCAATAGTTCCCTGCTTTCTTCAAAAGGTGGGGGACAATAATCCTTATGGATAGTGCACTATCAATTACTTGATAGTCATACCTTAAAAAATTACTCACTAGAGCTAAATTTCTAATTCTAGTAATGTTACTTTTTCTACTTCTAAGTGCCTGTAAATGTTGCCACCATATAATTATTAATACTAAATTCACTTTTTCTAATATTAATTATATGTTTAGAATTAATGATAATATGAATTGTAGTACGAAAAATTTAATTCATGTTCTTGTGTGCAACCAATGTAAAAAGAATTACATAGGGAAATGCGGAACTGAACTACGCGCATGCATCCGCCGAGTACATAGGCAACAGAGTAAACAAACTAATCCTGTTTTGAAAGTCTCTAAACATTTAAATACTTATGCCAAGAATTTAAATATAAAATTTTGTATTTTTCATTTTGATAAAAGTCAAAATTGACAATAATATCAGGAGACAGAATATGGAAACATACCTTATTGACTGGTTTTTACCAGACTTAATTTGCCCCCTTCCTGCTGTGTTAATATTCTAATAATATTTAACTAAATCTTAATATTTATTGTTACAATTTTTACTTCAACACTCAACACTGTGTAAGGAGATATCTATGGAAGACCAAATGGGACAATATTCATGATTCTTGTTTCTACATTCTAGTTTGAACATTTTAGACACGAACACAACATTTTAAACTAATGGTTCTTTGTTTCTACATTCTTATGTCAACATTTCATGCACAAAATCAACATTTTAAACAAAAAATTGATCATTAAATATTGAAATTAAAAAATAATTTCTTAATTTTACACGATAAAGAAATCAATTCATTGGTTTCTGAAAGTATCTAAAAAAAAATCTGGAATTTGAACTCTTATGAAAATATTTTCTACGTTTCAAAATAGCTATATAAAAGCTACCAATAAAACGCCGAAAATGAAACATAAAGTCAATTTTTTGTTTAAAATGTTAATTTTGTGCATGAAATGTTGACATAAGAATGTAGAAACAAGAATCATTAGTTTAGAATGTTGCGTTCATGTCTAAAATATTCAAAGTGAAATGTAGAAACAAGAATCATGAATATTGTCCCATTTGGTCTTCCATAGATATTAAGCCCTGTAATTCCTTTTTTTCTTTTATCAGTTCATTAGAGAATACAATTGATATAAATGATAATGAAAGGTTAAGTTTATAGCCAAATTACATAATTGATCTATTAATATTTAATTTATCTCTTCACTTCTGTATTGTACTATTGTCAGATTATACCAGGAAGACTATGTAAATTAATAAAAGGTTAAGTTTTATAGCCAGACTACATAATTGGTCTATGAACACTGATTTCATCTCATTATTCCTGTATTGGCTATTGTCAAACTATACCAGGAAGACTATGTAAATTAATGTCATGTTATATATTATATACTTTTAACCTTTTGTTGTACTAATTTTACTCTTCTGTTTATTGAATACTGTGAATTTGTACTGAACTGAATATAACATTTTGTCCGGAGCCACTCTGCTTGGCAAATTATCATTTATTTGGCAAAATAAAGTGCCCGAAATCTAATAAAACACAAATTTTTACTTTTCTTTTAATTGAAAACTTCTAATTTGTACTGAGAATTGACTATGGATTAAAATATTTTGTCTGGAGCCACACTGCTTTGCGCATTGATTAATATTCGTGAATGTAGCTCCATTCTTATTGGACGATTGAATAAATACTTGTATGATGGGCAAAGAAATGTTGTCTGAGATATCAGTACCATGGAAACAAATGTTAAACTTTACACCATCGTGAAGAATAATTATCATAGTCTATTAGTTACCTATAATAGTCAGTTCAGAAAATATCACCAAAGTTAAAGATGTCATTTTGGATATTGTACCATTTAAAGCACACAAACTTTGTCTTAGTATTAATATATCCTGAAAATATCAACAAATTATAAAATATTAAATATACATGAAATGTCAGCAAACAAAAAGTATGTCATTGCTGTTACCACAATCTCTTTGGGGATCCACAGTGGTTAAGTGAGTAAGGCACTGGCTCACTTACCAGGAGGGTGGTTGTTGGCTAAGAAAGTTCCCAGGGATTTTCCAGCATGGTTTCCCCTCGTCAGTGGTGAAGGAAAGAGGGCCTGGCATGGAACAGTGTCCAGTCATAAGAATGGATTGAAAAACTGAAGTCCTATGTACACATTGGCTTCACATAAAAGAATCCTTGAAAGTTGGACTAAGAAATAAAAGTAGGCCATAGTGCTACAGTTTGGGAAAATTTTAGTTATAAAAAAATATTTACATTATAGGATATTATACATCCAGATAAAATTTCTATAGAATTGAATAAGCGGTTGCCATGCCAACGTTTTGCAAAAGATGGACAGAGAACTGGCTAAAAAGTGACTTTTTGTACAATCAGGGGCTATAATCCAGGATATTACAGTTCGACATGCAACATGCGTGAATATCAAAAGGAACTGAGATCTTTATTTGCGTAAAGAGGAGTAGTCAGAAAGTCTTGGTCAGATTTTCATGAAATTCAAACTCAACCATAATTAAGCTGTAACGGTAAGAGTTGAACTTTTTTTTATAAATTAAATAAAAATTGTGACCTCTAGAGGGCCCACAATTTAAAAATGAGATTTATCGTACAATCAGGGGCCATAACCCAGGAAGTTATGGGCCAATACGTGCCAATATCGAAAGGAACCGAGATCTTTTGGATATAAACCTATATTTTAAGTGTTGTCCTAACCGGATAAAATTTGTGACCTGTAGACTCTGTAGAGTGTCCACAAACAAAATGTAAACAGACGGACAGGAGCAACTATAATATACGTCCACATGGGTGGCAAGTTACCTTCATTGCAATGCGTATCTCTGTTGATTTTTCCTGTAGACGTAGGGTTATTCCTCTCACATAGAATAATATCATCTCACACTGTGTAACATAATTAACAACAACCGCTAAATTAACAGAGTTCATCACCATACGACCAAATAACTCTATAATAAACATTGTCCAATAACCACCAGGACTAAAATACATACAAAAAAAGTTTCTTTGAACTACTCCCAGAGAAATATATATAAAATTACGTTGAAAAAAGAAATAAACATGTTTATGACTAACGTTTTCGGTTCATAACAAAAATCCTAACTGTAGAAGATAGTATACCTGCTACATGTTAAGCAGAGTATTTGCTTTGGAATGTTTATCTTTGCAAGACGGGATTGGACATTGTGTAGAATATAAATACTAAACTTGGGTTTGAGATCAATCTGGTTAAAACACAGATTCTATTTCGTTTCGTTTTTATAGTTCAAAATTTCGTTTTACTTGTCTTTACTACACTTGGATCTGGAAGAGTTGTTATTTAACACACGTTCTGAATGGTGTCAGGGATAAGCCAATGAAACGGTCTGTTACGGCGAGCTTTAGGCGTGTTTTTTACGGAACTGTGGGTAATTCACTAGTAACATCGATGCTGATTGGTTAATCAAATATCTGACGTCATAAGGTCATATATTGGTCTTTTGACCCCTGACGTGACCTATCGCTATAACTTGTCAGATCTTCATGTAGTATAGGCCATCGAAAGTATAAAAAAACAAAACGAAATATAGAGCTGTATTTTAATCAGATTGGTTTGAGATGTTAACAGTGGCTAACATAAAGTTACATCAACTAGTTATATTCAAATATTCTAAGATAAGATAGGTAATGATCACCACTGCTCAAATTAACACATTAAAAAATTAGAAGCCAGTCTGCAGTGTCCCCTCTAATTAAATCAAATACAGGGCCGGACATCAGAAACTGGGAATGGAGGAGTCTAATTTGCAAAAATGTGTCTATGCTGACAGCCGCGGCCATCAACAATATGAATTTTGTTTTAATGGGTGTATATACTATGGAGGACCATGCATTATGAAAAGACGCTTAGAGAGTGAGAGAAGCTAAATTAAAAGGAGAACCATACCTACATCACATTTCTTCTCTTTAATTGCATGACTTCAGAATACTAAATTAAAAGGTAAGCTTGTGCTCACTTATCAACTGGGGGGGGGGGATGGTCGAATGGTTAGCGCATTCAACTGGCGTGGTTTCGATTCCCTAGCTGGTTGCACGTGAAATAAAATTAAACTACATGTTAGTCCCGAAATGACCTAGTTTGTGTCGAGTGGACATTAAACCCCATTTCTCTCTCTCTCTCACTTATCAACCACATGCACTCACCACATATGTCGCATATCTTTTATCTAATCAACTGGCATCTTGCAGGCTATCATAATGAAAGATTAGGTGTCACATCTAACTGCAATGTACTTCAACCCTCCTTGTACATTCCACAAATAAATGATTGCTAAAATTATAGACTTACCCAACAGTTTTAAATATATCTAGTTTAGGAAAATTGAATGCCCAGACATATACAGCTTGTAACACCATTGTAGCTACTACCCAGATTGCACCACTAATCAGAAAACCCCTGATACAGGCAAAAATAAAACAAAAATTCTAAAGATTACTTACAATTATTACAGTATTGAAAGTAATCATTTATTAACTTATAATGATTTGTATGCGAGAGTGAGTGGCAGTAGGGGTCATCTCCGAATAAAGAAAACCTTCAAAGAAACCAATTTGACATGTACATAAACCAGTGTGACATGTACATAAACCAGTCTGGCATGTTCATTATGACATGTACATAAACTAGTTTGGCATTTACATAAACTAGTGTGCCATGTACATAAACCAGTGTGACATAAACCAGTCTGTCATGTACATTGTGACATGTACATAAACTAGTGTGGCATATACATAAACTAGTGTGCCATGTACATAAACCAGTGTAACATATAGGGCCCAGATAAACTAGTATGACATGAATATAAACCAATGTGACATGTACATAAACCAGAGTGATGTGTACCTAAACTAGTGGGACATGTATATAAACCAGTGTGACATGTACATAAACTAGAGTGACATGTAAATAAACTAGCGGGACATGTACACAAATAGGTGTAAACCCAATGTGATGCATGCACATTGTACAAACCATCTGTTATGTAGCCAAGTTAATTGTATCCGTAAATTCAAATCCAGTCAAGATTTCTAGAAATGCATTTTACTCAACCAATCCTCAAATATATTTTTAAATTCACTATAAATTTAATACAAATTGAAACTGACACTTCGTCCCTTAAAGTAATCTACATAAATCTAAATTATTTACCTTAATTTAAATATCATTTTCTTCTGTGAAGCATTTCTATTTTGCTGTGGAGTTGCTTGAAGGAATACCTGAGTAAGAAAAAATTAAAAAAAGTCTATCAAATGACAACTATCCTGTAGAGTAAGTAACTCATTTACTATAAATGTCATCAAGTTAAATATTTTGCAACCAATGTGGAAAAATGTGACCCGTGCTGGCAACAAGGAAATTTTGAAAATTGAGTTACTGTTATTTTCACATTCTCCATCTCAATACCTTCAATATGGTTGGTTTAATCGGGCAGCACCATGTTGTTTATTTGCTATTTTGTCATTTAATATTTTATTCTTTAAGTTTTCAGAAGTGCTGAAGACGAAAATCATAGTAAAATTTTGATCTGACATTTGTTTTATATAATAAAATGTTTATATATTTTTTTTTGCCAACTAGAATATTTATCTCACACAATGAACTCTTTTCATAACAAAACATCAACAACACATGCGGCTTATTCACATTCCCCATGAAAGTGTTATAATTCAGAAAAAATGAGAATAGTCTATACATTAGTAATCTATATTTTTTATATTATAAATTTGGTGAGAATAACTCTACTCGTCAAATAATTAGCACCTTAGTGCCAGTGGTCAGGTGATTAAGATTGTTGATTGGGTAATCAAGTTCAGTTTCTTGATCATCAGAGAAGCCGTCACACGATTGAATTAAAATAAGGTGTAGCATGTGCAATAGGTCTATTGTTATTTACCATGTATCATGACGGTCTCAAAATATGAATCCCTGGTAGCATGATAGAAATTTCAATTTCATTTGTAAAAAATGCTTGCGTTCACTTTTGTGCATTTCGGCGGTGATAAATGACACAAATAATGGCGGACTCAACAATAGTCGCTTTTTGACTCGTTGGTTGTTCTCATTTTTCCGACCCATATATGATGATAATAGAATTTGAAACAATAATATTCAATTATGCATGCTTGTATCCTTTGCATGCCATATGAAGCGACAGTAAATGGGATTCTGCTAAGAGTAAAATTCTCATCGAAAAGAAAATTATTGGTCATTTAATGGTTTATTTCCATTTAGGTCTATAAATTATTTTTTTAAGACGAAACCTGATATCAAATTATCACCGCTTGCATTAATTATTTGGAATAATGATTTGTCGATGGCCTTATCATTGGTAATTATCAATCAACTAATCATTAATCTGTGACAATTGATTAGCATTACTCAATGATACGATCCACTTGTAGCGGTATTCCGACATATGTTTTTAGTTCACACTCAACGGCAATCTAGACACGATCAGAATTTTAAAGTTTTTTTCTGCCAATCCTCTGAGAGTCGCAAGTACCTCAAAAAATTATCGCCTAAATCAAATTTCTATCCTCAGCTAGAGACTCAAGACAGCCATATGATACCATAATGCTTTGCATGGGGTGTCTGGGCCAATCAGCAAACGAATTGTGTGAACTGCATAGCAACAAGCACAAAAAGCAAGGTTTGTTTCAGGTTTGTTGGGGGTTTTAAAACTCGTTTGTATTCGTTCAAAATGAATTCATCAGCAATACTTTGGTCTGTGGTCATATTTATAAAATAGAGATTCGCCGCTTTACAACGATTTAAAGTATTATCTAAGAGGATTGACCGGTCGTCGCTCCGCTGCGAGCAGAGAAAAATAACTAATTTCTCTGAGAATTTTAAGAAAAAAGACAGATTTATGAATTCGATACTCTTACAAAATGTCCAAATAAAGGTGTTTTAAAATGTTTTATTGCTGTTTTGATCTTTTGGGTCGATAGATAGTATATTTATACACTCATTTTTGTGAAAATCTCAATTTCGATCGAAATCAATATTTACACTTATTTTGTCTGTAGCTCGTTATTAGACTTTGCACATTCTTACTCATTTTGCCACCACAGGTCACAAATGGCTTCTGTCAAAATTGTTCTGGGAAGCAAGTTCAAATAGCAAATGTCCAGAGAAATGAAATGAAATGAGGTTTAATGTCCTACTTTTTAAAATTTACATAGGAATATATCCATGTGAGAAGTATGTTTTTAGACTCAACTGACATCATGCATGAATCAAGGTTATTTCTTACCATGCAGGGAGATCAAACAATTATGTTTTTAAAACCTCAATTCAAACAAAATAAAAACACTAAAATAACCAAACATACCTTTTCCATTAATGCATAAAGCTGTTCATTTTCCTGTATTCTAAAATAATATATTCCCAAAATAAAGGCTAGAAAGTGTAAAACATTTGGTATTATATAAGTTGTTATGATGTGTTCACAAGCTTCTCCCGACGTCAAATTTATTGGAACCAAAGACGCTGGTCTCAGTGTAAATATAGGAAATGACAAGGTAGTTATATTGGTACTATTCATTGTTGTTGGAGGTATCGTCGGACTTAATGGCGGTAAAATCTGAAAATTAACACAAAAAAATCAGTTTGAAAACACTACTGTTCTGAAATTGTTTATCTATTGCTATCACTGTAACCCAGGTATCATTTAAATATTGTGTATTTAGCACTAATTTCTTTCACATTCCTTCAATATCAAATCCTTGTTTAAAAATTCGTAAAAATCATTTAAAATCACCCCCAAATCATCTAATTTGTATTTGTTTCCAGTTTAAAGTTGATCATTCAATTTTGATAATGAGTGTCCAATTTACAAACATTAAATTTTTCGATCACTGTTAAAATATTAACAACCCAATTGATTATTGATGTATGATGAAAAATTTTTGAACAGTGGTCGGGAAATTAAATGCTTGTAAATTGGACACTCATTATCAAAATTAATCAGTCAGCTTTAAACTGGACACAAGTACAAATTAGATGATTATGGGTGATTTTAAATGATTTTTACAAATTCTTAAACAAAGATTTTGATATTAAACGAATGTAAAAGAAATTAGTGCTAGATACACAAGATTTAATAATACCTGGGTTACAATATATGTATATTGACTAATCTCTGTTAAACAGAAATGAAATGAAATGGGGTCTAAAGTCCTACTGTTCTGATCCAACTGAGCTAATGAAGACGGGCATATGCCATACAGTGTGCTATGAGGGAAATTTTGTCCAGATAGCGGCGCTACAGCCTACTCTTATATCGAATTCCAACTGCCAAGGACTCTTTTTTACGTGCATGCCAATGTGTACACGGCACCTCACTTTTTCATACCAACCAAACGACCATACTTTTTCCCTTGCCATGCCCTCCATCCTGAAACATTCATAAGGGGGAACCACGCCGGCGAATCCTGATGAACTTTCTCGGTCGACACAGGGGTCGAACACGGGACCTTAAGGTTAGTCTCTGCCAATTCAAGTATGATCAAGAAAAAAAATTGGCATGCTTGTTCCTTGGACAATTGTGCACTGATTGACAGACTTTGCTATGATGTCACAATTCCAAGATGGCGGTGATGATGTCATGCTCGATTCCTGATCCATATAGTACTATCATATTTGTTTTTATAGCAGGGCACCCTAGCAATGTACTGAACATTTTTAATATCTTGTCTAAGTTATGTTTATGGTAATTATGACCAGTAAAAATTGTAATTTTACTCTGGTATCTTTCTGGACATTAAGTTTCCACTGACAGGCCACCATTTCATATATATATGTGTAGATAAGTAAAAGCACAATTAAAGAAGGATAAATTAGATTCAGCGTTCTCCAAAACAAACTACCAGAATTCACTGTCTCTGTACCAAATCCTCTCCATCCAATCTAAAAAAAAAAAATTACAACCAAATAACAATAACATAACAACAACAACTTAAATATTATTGAATCTTATGTTAAATACCAGTAGTGGGGTGGTTAAGGAAGAATTTTTGGTAGAATCGTGCATTTTGCCATTTTGAATTTCCGCCATCTTGGATTTTGGAAACTATTTTTTTATTTAGATTAATTTTAAGTTCAGTGACAATGTAAACCCTTTAATAAATTATATATTACAAACCAAATCAAACAGTGAAATGACCGCCATTTTGGGTATATTTTGGCCGCCATTTTGAATTTCCGCCATCTTAGATTTGGGGAAACTAGTTTTAGAGATTATTTTTCAGTTCAATTACAACAAAAACTATATATTTGATATATTACAAAGCATACATTGCGTGATAATCACCCATCCTATCTGCAAATTCATTTTTCTTCAAATTTTGGCGGCCAATTTTTGAAATAAGGCAAACCCCAAACCCCTTGTTATATGTATATCAATGAATAGGCGGCCATTTTGGAAAAGATGGCTATAACGACCACCAGGGGGAGCTGCTGAGGTGGATCCACATCCCAAAATAATCAGTTGGGTTGATGCCATCTATGTGCCAAGTTTCGTGCTTTTAACCCAAAGTGCACGATTTTTTGCTTAACCGCCCCACTACAGCAAGACAATAGCAGGATTAATTATACTCTCAGTAATAGGGAATGTTTCTTCTTCAATTACTGTTTGAAGAATCATGCTAGGTCTTTAGTGTACACAAGTCAAGGCAGACGATGACAATCTAGTTCACGTAGATGACAGATGTAAGATGTTTGCTAGATCAGTGTTTCCGAACATGGGGTCCACAAACCCCTTACGTGTCAATGAAAAATTTGAATGTTCTGCAGACAAAAAAATTCAGTATGAAATTGGAGGTATTCGCTCAATGAATTTCACTATGATGTTGTCAAAATATGATGTTATCAAAATATGAGTAATGATCCAACCATATTTGCACTGAACAATAATATGGCAGGAGAGAATAAAAGGACCCATCAGACTTCCATTTATTATCATTGTAACTTGACTATCAAAAATATGAACTGTGGGTGGAGTTTCCATCACACAATTACAACCATTTTTTGTCAAAACTTCAAATATTCATAACTTCTGTCTGAATTAATTAATTTTTTTAACTATTATAGCAAGATCAGCTAGCTCTCTATCTAAATCTCACATAACATATCTTTAATAAATGTAGAGTAAAGAAATACTGGATTTCAATGGATAACTAACTACTTACAAACATTAGTAATCGCCAATATGGTCGGAGAACTTGAAGTTTACATTTCCGAAGAGAACTTTGCGTTAGGTTTAAACTTTCTTCTCCACCTAAATCAGATATCTAAAATAATGGAAAAAATGGTTATTATTTATAAAGCTAAAGCATAAGCATTAAAAAGCACTACACCTAATGATATTTTCCTGCTTTGTTGAGTAAACTTTATTCTTTTGGCAGAATTTATCATCTTGATGGAACAGAATAAAAACCAGTTAAGAATATCTAAATAATAAAAACAAAAAACTAACATTTTGTAACTGAGTACCATTATTAAAACTGTATTTTTTTGATACTTTATCAAGTTCCAGTACCAGATCTTTCCCCATATCAAAAATAGATACATTTAATAAATATTTGAATATAAAAGTAGCCTATTCTAATATGTAGTATCTTAATTGATACTGATAAGACTGAAATGTAGAGTCATATAACAGGTTATACCTATAGGTATCTTAAGATCAGTTACCACAAAGTGTATAATAGTCTTCACAAATTAAGGTTAATATGTTACTAAGTTTGTTTTAACAGTACAGTACTTAAAGTAGCTAAATCAACATTGATGTTTTTATCCCACTTGAAAAGATGGGCTTCTGATATCCAATATTTAAGACAAAATAAACATTTTACCATTGGTACACGAATCGTGTACCAGAATGCGTTTCAGCACCATTTGTAATAGGGGACTCGAAGAACGAGGCTAGACATATTCCACAAGTCATGTCAATCGGTGAAGCCATATTCTTATCTGGAGAGCACTCGCAATAAATACTATCGGTGTAGACTGGAATAACCAGACACTAGAGATAGCCATTCGATTCACACTTCTGGTGTATTTCACCGAACATAACTGATTTGAAAATAGAGTAAAAACGGAAACAATTGAATATAAATCAGTTTATATACATTCATATTACATTATTATATGCGTTGCGACCCATTTGTGTCAATTTCTAGGTCCCAAATATTAGTGATTTAGCTCCTTTAAATTATACTGATATTTAATCATGTCAAGTCATGTACCAGTAATCCTAAACATCATGTAATAAACTCCATCCATCAACCATTGGCCTGTGAATGTGATAAACTACCGTGTTTAACTTATTTTTTTCTAGTTTGGTGTGATGCGTGAGAGTCATGAATTAAGGACAAACCCTATTGATATCTGTGTTCAGAGACCTTCCATTTGTCCAACATTTTTAAGTCGTATTAACAGTGTTGCCAATGCCTACGATATCCTCATATTATTTATACTATTTATCTAAAATTTGAATGGAATTTAGTAATTGGAACATAATCAAATAAAACACTATCTATGGATAACATTTACAATGGTTTATTACACAGCAGCATTTCAACAAGATTTCACTAGTCGTTATCAAGCATATCAACACATACAATACAGTGAAATAAACCATAGTAATTGTTATCCATAAGTATAGTGTTTTATTTGATATGGTTTATTTGATAAATCAATTTATATCCTATTTCTATACATGTATATTATTACATGTAAATTTCAATAAGTTGTAATAGTGGAAGATTGTTTATAGATAATCGATGAACTAATTAATAGTTCATTAACTCTTCGTTCGATTTTATATAAATTACCACATTATATATGTAATTACATTGAGTTTTATAGATCATTCTATTACCGTTAATTGGAAAATATATCTAAACTCCAAGGAAAGGAAATTTATCTCCAATCTACAAGCTACTTGGAGCCAAGGAGTTTTTAAATAATTAGTGCAGAAGCCATTCTGAATGACAAAGTATGACCATGGTTACCATGAAACGTGCAAATATAGAAAACACTCAAATATAAATGGCTGTGGTATAATCTGGACTGAGATCAATTCACGATACATCAAATACCTAATTTATCATCAGACATTTTCCATGTAACAACCAGTGAATGCTGAGCACCTCGGACCACAGATCCATTTTGGAAATCTTAATATCCTATACCCCGTCAAAAATGAGGAGTTTAAATTATTTTGACTGATTCAGTCCAATAATTGTCATGTCTGGTAAATATATTTTTACACCCCGATTCCTAAATATGCCACTGAGTACATACCTCAACTTTTACGGTGCTAGCAGACAAAGAATGACTTAACATATCACTGGCATGATGAAGTTCTTCTTCTTGAGAATTCTGTTGTGCCCATGGTAATACCTCAGTACAGACGGTCTGTTTGTCGATACTCTCTGTAAGCTGGTAACTTCTGTCATCAGAATAATCACTTGGTACATAAGATGCATTAGTAACTGATTGGTCACGAATACTTGTATCCTAAAAACACAAAAGCAAAAGTTATTTTCTAAAAGCATACATTTTTTACGCACAAGAAAATCATTAAACCCCATTTCATTTACCTACCATTTGATTAGTCAGTTCATGTAATCTGAAATGTTTCAAAAAAAAAAAAAAAATGCACCATGTCAGGGGAGAACATGAAAATTTTAATCACATTGAGAGACAACAAAACATGTTTAACAGCAGCTTTGTTCTCCAAGCCTTAATAGAAAAATGTCTGTGATCTAATGGACTTTCTCTGTAGGGAATGATGCCACTTGATTCAGTGTGAGACACAGAGACAGAGAGAGAGAGAGAGAGAGAGAGAGAGAGATGGTGTTTAATTTCCACACTAGGTCATTTCTGGACCAACACATGGTTAAATTTTATTTCAAAATTTTAGCAGTGGGAGGAAACCGGAGGACCCAGAGAAAACCCATGAGATTGGATAGGCGACCCTACTCCTTGTCATGTACAACCGGGAATCGAAACCACGCCAGCTGACTCAATGTCAATGACAGACCTTATGATACAGTGCGTACGTACTAACCATTTGGCCATCCAACCCCCGATTCAATGACAGACCTTATGATCTATAGCACACATGTTACACCACCTGATTCCTCCCCCTCTCTTAATTATTAGATGGTGCGATAATAAATATCACACCACACAATTCCTTCCGCCCTTTTAATTAATTAGATGATGGGATAATGTATATTGTGTTACACCACCCATTTCCCCCCTCCCCTCTTAATTAATTAGGTTGTGGGATAATGAATATCATGTCACACCACTCAATTTCTCCCCCTCTCTTAATTATTTAGATGGTGGGGTAATGAAAATCATGTTAAGCCACTCAATTCCTCCTCCGCTCTTAATTAATTAGTTGTTGGGACAATGAATATCATATTACACCTCTCAATTTCATCCTCTCTCTTAATCAATTAGATGTTGGGATAATGAATATCGTGTTACACCACTCAATTCCTCTCCCTCACTCTTCATTAATTAGATGGCGGGATAATGAATATCGTGTTACACCACTCAATTCCTCTCCCCCACTCTTCATTAATTAGATGGTGGGATAATGAATATTGTGTTACACCACTCAAATAAATATTTGGATGGTGGGATAATGAATATTATTTTAAACCACTTAATTCCTCTCGCTCTCTTAATTAATTAGATAGTGGGATGATGAATATCATGTTACACCACTCAATTTCTCCCCCTCTCTTAATTAATTAGATAGTGGGATAATGAATTTTGTTAATGATGTAAATATCCGGTAACTGGTGTGTGGTTGAGTAGTCTAAGTTGTGTGCTTTAGATCATAAGGTCTGTCATTGAGTTTAGTGTGTGATTTCAATCACAATTTGGTATGTCACTCACTACTAAAATCTCAAACAAATACTCAGGTTACTACAATAAATATATTCTATGACCTGGTTTGTACTGGGTATTAGTTAAACCCCCTTTCTCTCTCTGTCTTCTTTGTTCACCTCACCTTGCAAGCAGTCACAAATTTCTCATTTTGGTAACAAGTAGGGGGATAGCGGTAAGCATTAAGTTCAATTTGTTCACGTTAATTTCATGGCTAATGAAGATGGGCATACACCAGGCCCAGGCCTATATTAATTTCAATTACCAACTTGCCAGGGCATCTTTAATGTGCAGACAATGATACTAGTATATATGGAACTCGGTTTTTCGTATTATCTGAACAATTAATACTTTTCCATACATTGCTCTCCATCTTGCACCATTATCTAACTATGTAAAACAAGTATCACTTTTACATACAGTAAATCATAAATAAATTTTGACTTACTATAAATTTCATACTGTTTTATCACAATTTACAGCTGCATATTAATACAAAAATCCATTTTAATTAATAGCACGTTTAATGAATAGCACACTTAAAATCTCTTACTAATTCTACAGGAGGTAGCACATTTAAAGAGATTTCCACATCCTCAATAATCATCCCTATAAATAATATAGTATTTCTTAATATGAGGCTGCTGAAAATGATACTGATCAAAAGATAACAGAGAAACCACTGATAAACTTACAGTTAGATAATATATCTATTATCAGGGCCGGTTGTAGAAAATGCGGGGCCTAATTTGGGAGGCCCAAAGTTACAGGATATGTATACATTGCAGCAGAAGGATATGAAAAAATAGCCACATCTGGCGCCTGGAAATTATTTAGTTGGTGAGCTTTCTAGTACAAAACTAAATTTGAAATAATGAAAAATAATCTTATGTACTTATATGATAAACATGTAAACAGGCCAGCAGACAGCTGAAATTGGCCAATATTAATGCATAATTGTTTGGTACACAGACAGACAGCAGGACGAACCCATTTCAATAGTCCCCTGCTTACTTCGAAAGGCGAGGGACAAATAGTGTGGGAGATAATATACTTTCCTGAGGAAATTGATCCCAGGCGTACTTTAAATGACCTACCTTAAACGACCTATCTTCTAAGAAATTGGAAATAAAAAAAAGCAAACCTAGGTTATGATGGTCACACATAATACCCTATTTCCATGTGGTATCGTACGCTTTCTCCGGGTAAAAGTGTTGTTTCGGGATGAAAGCATCACTGATGAACGTTTCAAATCTAACAATTTGTTCAAGGATGGACCCATCTCTGATGAACGTTTCAAATCAAACGATTTGTTCAACAGTGCTCCTTTGGGACTACCGTCTTCATTAGCCCAGTTTAGGAGCAGAACAGTAGGACGTTAAACCCCATTTCATTTAATTTCATTTTCCTTTGGGACTGATATCCACATTGGAGGTCTGTAATGAGGTTGTTGGAATTGAGGTACCAAACAAGTCTTCGATTGATCAATCTCTCCATGGTTTTAGTTAAAGTGATCGGACGGTAGCTTGTAGGTTTCATAAGAAATTTACCTGGTTTGGGGATGGGAATTATTGTGGCTTTGTGCCACAAAGGAGGGAAATTCCCATCAACCCAAATCCAGTTAAATTAAAAAGATCCAATAAGATTAAGAGTGTTGGTAAAGGTAAATGTTTTAAAATCTGGTACAGTTGCAGTGTCGGAGCTCATGACCACCACCCAGCTCTGTGAGAGAGACAGAGAGAGAGGGGTTTAACACAAACTAGGTCATTTCGGGACTAACATATGGTTCAAGTTTATTGCAATAATTTGCTTGCGCATAGGGGTCTTTAGCAGTGGGAGGCAACTGGAGGATCTGGAGAAAACAGGCGACCCTACTCCTTGTCACGTACAACCAGGGATTCGAAACCACACCAGTTGACTCAATGGCAGACCTTATGATACAGCGCGCATGTGCTAACCATTTGGCCATCCAATTCCCCACAGAGCTCTGTAACGGAAAAATTATCATTGTAGCATTCATCATTGCAGGATTTGAAATTAAGTCGCCTTTTTTTCCTGTTGTCATTTAATGTCTTGAAACGCATCACTGGAGGAAATGGATGATGAATTGAATGAGGTTGTACTGGCCGGAGAATTAGCAATATCAGCAAATGTTGTTAAAGTGATATTACCAACATTTAGATGGTTAACTGATAAAGCACTACTTTTACCTTTAATCCAATGAATCCCATCCCATACCGATTTTGATGTGGTACAGGAATTTATCCTAGAGACGTAACCTTTCCATGAAGATTTCTTTGCTTGAAGTATGGTTCTACAGGTCTTCGCTTGGATAATTTGGTATACAGCAATATTCTCCACGGAAGGGTGAGTCTCGCGTCGCTCTTTAAGAGCGGATTTACAGTCTGGATTGCACCATGGTTTATTAAAACGTTTTGGTTCAGTCATGGTTTTTGGAATCGCCTGCTCAGCTACATTGTGAAGAATTGAAGTGAATAAGGCCATGGGATCATCTGTGGGTAATCCACTAGAAACATCAATGCTGATTAGTTAATCACATATCTGACAACTGGTCAGGTCTTCATGTAGTGTAGCCCATCGAAAGTATAAAAAACGAAACGAAATATACATCTGTATTTTAATCCGATTGCTAATGGATTGAATTTTTGTATTAGGATTTGGACTTCATTAAAATTTGGCTTAATACCACGACACTTCCATTGCATTATGAAATTGACCATCGTCAGAGATGTTTAATAGGACTTTTTGGGTGTTGCTTGAGATTAGGGTCTAGATTCTCATACAACAACATCCATCATATAGTCCTGATTCCCGAACCTGTTATAGGTCTGGACAGGATCATCTTCACCCTTTCTGCTACAGAAGGATAATAGTATAGAACCAGCCTATAAAGTTGAAGATAGATCCTTTGGGTGGCTTTCCACCTTTTGTGGGGGAATTTGGTGGCTTTCCACCATTTGAAAGAGGAGTTACAGGCATAATCTTCTCTTTTGCCTCGGGCACTATAGACAAACTTGTCTGAGTGCCGTGGGCAGTGAATTCTGATTTCTTTGATATTGGAGGATTAGTGGATGATCCTGTCGGCCCAAAAGCTGGCAGAGGCAACTTGGTCTGACAAGCAACGGAAACGGTCTTCGGATTTTTGCGCAAATACTGGCGCTAGTGTGGCAAGTTCAACCAATTTCCGTGCCTCGGGGTAAGAAATATTTTTTTCTGTTTTGATCTGTTGCACCTGTTTCTCTTTCTTCCACAAAGGACACTCTTTTGAATAAGCAAAATGAGCTCCTTTGCAACTGGCACAGTTATGTTGGAGTTGGCATGTTTCACGTTTGTGGCCATCTTGTCAACATTGTGCACAAATTGGTTTTCCCTTACATACAATTTTGCTGTGCCCACAGCATTGGCACTGAAAAGAACACAATGGGTTTCGTATGTAAGAGAACTGGAACTGGCACAGTTATGTTGGAGTTGGCATGTTTCACTTTTGTCAACATTGTGCACAAATTGGTTTTCCCTTACATACAATTTTGCTGTGCCCACAGCATTGGCACTGAAAAGAACACAATGGGTTTCGTATGTAAGAGAACTGG